TTGTCTGGAACCGGCTTATGGATAGACTATTTTCATGATTCCTAAGAGTATATATGGGTAAATTGTTGAAAGCTATTGGATTAATGCTTTTGATGTAGCCGTGTAAAAGGCGAAAGAGGAATGTAAGGTTGAGTTTCAGGCGCCTTAACCAAAGTGGCTGAAGTTCATACATTTTGCACCTATCAGCGTAAGTCAGTCCTTCATGTTTTTATATAAGGCGTCGAGTAAAACTTCGCTGAATATTTTCAATACGAACCCTGTCATACCCATGCATGAAATCGAAGACAATTGTGCAGTATTCAAGTACTGGACGAACCATGACTTTGTATAAAAGGACTTTAGCCTCATTTGTGTACATTTTTCGATGTAACAAGCCTGTGAGCCTTCGGCATTTAGAAACAAGTGCTTTTGCGTACTGACTGAATGTCAAGTTTTGTGAGTAGGTAACTCCCAGGTCTTTTATGGAACTGAGGGTTTGGAGAAAAGAGTTACCTAGGTGTAACCTGAAATTCGGATGGGAGTTATTGAAATATAGGACACCACATTTATCAGAATTGAATGGCAGTTGCCAGTCATTGCTCCAGTTATGTAACCTATCCAGATCATCTTGAATATGTGTGAATCCTTCGTTTAGTGTAGAATAGGGGAAGCTGTATACAATCTTTAAGTCGTCAGCAAAGAGGTATGGTGTACAATGCTTGATTACGCTGCAGATGACGTTAATGTAGATTACGAAAAGCAGTGGACCTAGTACACTACCCTGAATCACTCCACTTCGTATAGGTCTGGGTGACGAGTAATTATTTGCAAATTTCACAACTTGGGAACGATCTTCCAAGAAAGAAATGAGCCAGGATAACAAGGGGTCTTGGAACCCATACGACTTTAGCTTAAGGATTAGTCTCTTGTGTGGGACTTTATCAAAGGCTTTTTTGAAGTCAAAGAAGAGAGTTGCGACATACAAACCATGATCACGCTTAGCGGTAACATCATCAAAGTAGTCAAGTAGGCAGGTGGAGCATGATCGATTTTTCAAGAAGCCGTGTTGTGCTGGAGTAAACACTTTGTGAAGGTGGAGGTATGAAGCAATATCTTGCCCTATAACCTCTTCCATAACCCTAGAAACTACTGACGGGATATTAATCGGTCGGTAGTTTTCGATGTTAGAAGTTGGTCCTTGTTTGTGCCTAGGGGTTATAAACGACAGTTTCCAGCATTCTGGGTAACTGCCATTATTTAAGGACAGAATGAAAAACTTTAGTAGGATAATGGGTATATCCTCACCACCTCTTTTCAACAAGATAGATGGAATTCCATCGGGCCCAGCGTTATATGATGTCCGGAGGGATGCTATAGCGGAGGAAATCTTTTGTTGGGTGAATGTTATATTACCCAAAAAGTGATTTGGTATTGTCGGAACTTCAAGACTATCTACTGTTTCTTCGATAGTATAGTAGCTAGAAAAGTGGGAGCTGAATAACTCACATATCTCCTGCGGGTCTTCGTGTAGTTTTTCTCCATCTAGTAATAAGTTAGGGATACTTATTCTGTTGTTGTTGATTCGTGACTTAATTAGTTTAACTAATGCCTCTGTATTATCAGGTCGTGAGTGGAGGATGCGTTCTAGTTTGATGGACTCAGATAACTGATTAGATTTGTATGAATCATAAGTTTGCTTGAGTGTAATGAGTGATGAAAAGTCATTATATCTGTAGAATTGCCTAGCATGCTTACGCAGTCGGTTTCGAATCTTTACGGGGATGAAGTCGGGCTGTTTAGGCCTCGTTTTCACAAGTCTTACTGGAGCGATGAAGTCGTGTGCAAATCCTAGGTTCTCATAGAGTAATTTGTTTGTCTCTATAGCCGAGCTGCACGTAAAGTATGGCTCCCAGTCTAGGGTGCGTATGTATGGTTTCAGTTCATCCCACTGAGCATGTCTGTAACCCCCGAGTAATACTTTGTTGGCGTTTATTGTCGAACTCATGCTAGTGCAAATATTAAATGTACCGAATACTACTCTGTGGTCGCTGCCAGGAAACTCTTTACCTACTCGAAGGGTAGTGGGGATGATACCATTAGTGAAAACTAGATCTAAGATCTTAGATAGCCTGGTAGGATACTGTACGTGTTGTCTGTTTGTAGGACGAATCAATTATTAAAGAGATGTTCAGCGAAGAGACTCTTTCCGGCGAATTTTATTCGCATAGTTGTACAATCTCATTTACATATAATTATTTTGTGTGTGTACATGAGGTTTGTCAAGTTTAGATAATTAATTAGGTAATATGAAAATGATCCGATATAGAAAGAAGGTTAATCAGACACCAACTAAAGTAAGATGGAGTTAGTAAGTTAGATGATGTAATATAATTGGCCAAAATGTTTCAACTCAGGTTAGGGTAGCAATGGAAGTAATTACAGGTAGAGACAAAGTAGAGGTGGGGCAGAGAACAATCCCATTTAAATTAGGACTAAAGTTGGGCAAATAAGTTGGATGACGTAACATGCAGGACTAGAAACTGAGCTTTGGTTAAGTCAGAAACAGTGGTAATGAGGTGTAGAAATTAAATCGGGTGGGTGTTACAGAACAGGAAAGTTGAAAATGTAAAATGTTACCACTGAGAAGACAAAATAATACTAATGAAAGGACAGAAGACAAAAAAAGTAGAATTTACCTGTCGGGTGTTAAGATAGATTACGTCCATCGCAGGTATAGTGACTGAACGAATTTCTTCTGTATGCAGAGTCCGGGACTTAGCAAATGAATCGCCATTGCTTCTACAGTTTGAAGAAGTTTGACTCGTACACTTTAAAGAAGACTGCTTCGTATTTGGTGGACAACTTTAAAGTTTGTTTGGGGTGTAGCTTGATATTAAGAATCTATCAGATGCTCTAAGACAGAGCTGAGGTGACATCGTTTCTTTCCTTTTAAAACCATGCTGGTAAGTGTTCGGGGATAAGTTTGGAAAGCGAGCTCAGGGTACGGCCGACAGGTATGGCTCCGTACGAGCAGGCGAATCCGCAGACACACATTCATGAGGCCAGCAGTGGTAGCTTATCCTTCACGTTCATAAGAATCATAGGTTTCGAGGGGAGGTTAATCGTAGTTCAATTGTGAAGCAGGTTTTTTCAAGTGAAAGGGACAGTCGATTTTTCAGTGATTCTGCGGATAAATATCCTTTGAATCGAAGGTTCTTGTAGAGTAGCTTTTTCGGGATGGTAATCGTGGGCGGCTTTTGCGGTCTAGGATTCATGGATTTTGCTATAAATCGTTAGGGATAAAAATTCTCGACGAGAATTCTCTTGAAATTGTCTAGCTCGTCCGCTGTGGTGCCTGGAATGCAAAGGTCTGCGAACTCTCTAGCTGAGTGAACAGATCAGGCTTCGTTTGGTGTATAGAGGTACCCAGCTGTGAAAGTTAGTAAGCTGTCCGTTGCACGTCAACTTTCTGTAGATGAATCTTTTCAGTGTTCCATCCTGTTCTCGTCTTGTTAGTTGAACGTCAAGAATGGATATTTTGGAGTTGGATTCTTTCTCCAAAGTGAGCTGAATCTCGGGGTGGTAGCTGCTTAACGACTTCAAGATATCGTCTAGATTTTCTTCATTGTTGACGATAATGAAAGTGTTGTCGACGTATCTCTTATAGGTTTGACTTTTGCTAGATGACAATGTACAACGAATTTATACAAATATATATATATATATATATATATATTTATATACAATCTATAAGGTTCTGTCCGTGTCCAGATACTTCTTCCTTCCCTGGTACTTTGCTACTTGCCTCTTCTATTCTATTTGCCTTGTGGTGGAAGTCGCGCAGATCTACAGTGATATTGAATTTGGATAGGACTTGAAGCCCCTTGCTGATAAACACCACGAATTCCTTCAAGTTGCTGGCTCATACTAACTCAGCATTCCAGAAAACCCTCTGTCACCACATCGAGATGCTGTATAACATCATATACAAGCAGTGCCATGGCCTAAAATAGTTTACAATTTGCTTTCTATATGGGAATCCGCTTGCAGCAGCTGCAAAAGGCGTTTAACCTCGGCTCAGGAAACAAATCTATCTTGTGATGACCGATATTAATCCGCATTGAGTATAATTCACTTCCCATATTTCTGACAGTGAAAATGCCGAAAAAATATACGGATATAACACTAATTTTAAACCCAATTTGGATATAAATCAAGAGTAAGATCCGATGTCGTACACACCAAAGTTATACTGGGGGAGATGACTTCAAGCTTTAATTTTTCCCTAAGTATTTTTAATCCATCTAACACATATTTGTGTTTTTTTGCTAATGCGAAGAACACTTCTGCATTTCTTAATGGGCTCCATTGAATGACCAGTTAGCAGACTGTTCTCGCAAACTAAAGACAAAATGGACAGCAACCATGTTATCTCACCATAGTCCAAATTTGTGTGGTTTTAATAATACTTATCCATGCATGTATAAGTGGCGTTTCCCACAAAGATAGGATTAAATATATTATTGTATCATGATGAAGTCCTGAAACCAATCAAATCCCTACAAACCAACACTTAAATACTGCATTATTATTATGCCCCTTACACTATTATCACTGTAAAGATATGTATGTATATGGATGATTAGCTGTCTCTTTTACGTCATCCTTCTTTCGTTTTCTTTTTTAGTCTACATGACGTACATTAATTATCTGTCATTATTGCCTCTCTTTCTTAGAAGACAATGGGTGAGAGGATCGACCCCATTGATAGTAGCATCACGGTCTTAACACACTGCATACTACAAACTAAATACAATTAATCCAAGCACCACTCCTATTTGAGTCGACCAAAGCTACGACATTTATGCAATGGGACGAACGATGCAGAAGTTTACCGAAGACCAGGAAAATTTACGACACGGCCAGGAAACGAGAATAAAAATTCAAGTCGGTCTGTACTGGCTCGTAGAAGACAATATTGGATATTGGGTATCTTGTTTTAATATTGCAAAGAATTGGTTAAGACACTGAAGGTTGCTATCACATTTTTGAAAATGTTTTCTTACTTAAGTAAAAAGATTACTACGCAGAACAACAAGAAATTGAAATCAGTGTCATGGAGTAAAGAACATGGCTACATTGCCTGTGGAGGAGAGGATGGTTTACTGAAAATTCTTAAGCTTGAAGTGCAAAATGATAATAAACTTAAAGGTTTGGCTGCTCAAACAAATTTGGTGATGAATCAGAACCTGAAAGGACACACAGGTTTCTAATATATTACTGGGGGAATTTTCTAATTCTTCAGGTGACGTTCAGGTGATTACATGGAATGAAAAGTTTAGAAAAATTACATCGTCTGATCGTAATGGCCTCATAATAGTTTGGATACTTTACAAAGGAGCATGGTACGAAGAAATGATAAATAACAGAAACAAATCATCTGTTCAGGATATGAAAGTAACAACCAAACATAACTGCTAATATTATATAGTGGGACCCTGAAGGTCAGAGGATTTGCATAGTTTACGAAGATGGGGCGGCTATAGTTGGATCTGTGGACGGAAACAGGATATGGGGGAAAGAGCTGAAGTGTGGTAGCCTTACATCAGTCGAGTGGTCACCAGACGGAAATATTCTACTGTTTGGCCTGCTGACAGGAGAAGTCTGTGTTTACGACAGCTGTGGGAACTTCCTGGTACGTGTTTGTGCCAAAAGCTTTCCTGTTAGTTGTTGATACTTTTACCCAGCAAATGCACAAGCTTCCTTAATGTAGATTACTCCATAGAAGCTGCACGATATTCATAGTTTCCAATTAGACGAATACATATTAATATTTCGTAGACACTGTTCAATTAAATGTCGATATCAGTAAATCGCAACAAGTTTTGAAAGGCATTTTAGTCTGAAGCACCGCTAATACTTGTTTCACACAGTGATGCTTTTGTAATGTTCGATAAATAGTCTATGTAAAGTCACTCGCCAGTTATCAACAGTAATTAACAATTAAAAATATGTGATTACATGGCGTAGATGAAGGAAAATGTCTTATAATGAGTCCATCAACTAAAAACGCTGGCTTTTTTTTTACTGGTTATGAAGCCGAATAACAGTCAGAAAATATTTAAGTTACCAAAGTAGCAATACTTTTGATTCGAGGATAATCATTAGGAAGTAGGATGAGTTTAAATTTTCGTAATCAACTTATTGATGTTATTTCCAATTTATGTTTAAACGAAATTTTTGTCGGACGCTGCAAATGATTATTTATTTTCCTTTTGGTAACCAATGCCCAAAAAGCAGTTAAATTAAGCTTTAAAGGGATGTGCTTCATTCCTGAGGCCTAATTTTGCCAATCGAGTTAATACGATAGCCATTTGTTTACGCGTGCATCTGTATATTGATTCTGTTATTAAAACAGTCTGGTGCCTAATACAAATCATCCTGTTATCCTCTGGATACTGATTAGATGAAAAACACCGAAAAATATCTGTGACGTCTCACTGAACATGATATAGTCTTGTTGGAATGCTAAATTTCCTCTGTCTTTTTCATAATGCCAACCCTCAATTGACTGTCCGACACATTTATAATGAAAATTAGTAAATTAATTCCAAAAAATACTCGTGCTATAGCGAGGAGTAAAACTGAGACTAATTGTAGTCATCCGGATCGATTAGAACTTAGTAGTGAATATCATTTTCATAATGTATTCTCGACATCAAACTCCTGTTTTGTTTCTGTCTTGGATACATCTTAAGTTTCCCGCCTTAGAGAGTGCTTTTTAACTACTAGTAATACGAGGTTTTAATAGTTGTTGTTTTTATTTCTTGAACTGTTTGAAATTTCAGTCAAAAATATCAATGTACTGTTTGAACAACATACATGGAGCTATTCGGCTTGTGGGTTTAGAATGGTATAAAGGAGATAAAGGACATGCAACACGCTTACTACCGTCATTAGTTGTGTGTTATGATATTGGACGTTGTCAAATAATGAAAAACCACGATGATCCAGGTAAAATTTGAAGTGTTTAGCTGGTTAGTATGTCATGATACAAAAGTCCTTGTTTTTAAGTTTATATTATTTTTATGTTTCGGTTATATGCCTTAGCTGTATCTTAATTTTATATCCGTTGGTGTATATGAACTCATGAAAGGTGAAGGGTGCCTAAGTAAAAATCAAGTTTATATAAATAATGTCATATAGTTTGTGGATTTATTAACCCTCTGAATTTGCAGTTTCGATGCGAATCGAAAACATTACTGTTTAAGCAATTGTTTTTCTTCAATTGATTTAAATCTAGTCCATTTTGTGCGAAAGCCAGAATGCGTTTAAATCGTAAAGACAAAACAACTAGTACTTTGACTGGACACTAGCTAGTAACTAACGTCATTTGAATAGCCCTTTGTTTGATGGAAAATGGATTCTATCAGTCGTGTATGTAAAACTACGATTAATCTTTTATCTTAATCTTCACTGTGCATTGTAACTGTAGATTTCGCAAAGAGTATATCCACAAACCACAGACATTCTCTGCTGTAGACATGATGTCTGTATGCACATATTTCGCTCTGTCCCTTTCTATAGCTGTGAGAGAGGGTCATTAAGAAACGGAATACATGAAAAGGCCAGATATCTTTGACCGCAGATTTTTGCGTTCTATCCCTGTATTAAGTGGTATTATACAGTAAATCGTATTGAGGTTAGGCTTAGGATCGGATGTAGGAAGGGAAAGTCTATGGATGAGGTTGTGAAGCTACATCGACTAAGGTGGTTAGGAAGTTTGTCACCTATGCCAGGCCACCACCTTGCTTGTTGATTAAATTTGGATGACATAAGGCTGGGTTGGGAAAGAGTGAGAGGTGGTCAAAACTATGGAGACTCTGTCTGTTGGTTTGAGCCAGATATGGTGGTGCAGCCTGTCTGATTACTGTTTTCCAGATGGCAAGTACCAAGCTCTTCATACTGTGGGGAGATGGCTCTAAATCGTTCTTAATGGTATGTATGCATTCACTTCTTGCGATCTAGATCCACTAGGGCCTCACGTTTCACTATGTGCTTATTTTTTCTCCTGTACATTTCTGCTTCTGAATTTGTTTCTCTCCACCTTCGTGTGCTCTATGGTAACTTGGACTTCTGCACTTCTGTACAATGTTCTGCGTTAAATGCTCAGTTGATTTGTGTGAAATGGTGTGATGGTGTGCATTCTCATGTTAGGGAATTTAGTGTAGAAACCATACCCTGCATGCGGAAAAATAGACGTGTATTGAAATGTCTTTTTTGTTTGCATCCTTTTCTAGCTACTTCAAATCCACTGGCTGTCAGTAAAGTTCCACTAATACGACTATTTTCAGCTTTACCAACACTAACAAATTACTGCCCTGTTTCCCATAAGATCTTTGAATGTAGATATCTCTTTGACATATGCTTTTAAAACACGAGGTATTTGGAAACCTGTTAAAAACAAATGTGTACAATGCGTCTACTATAACCGTCCCTGACGTATTGTAGAATTAGGGACTTTATATTACAAACATCCTCTATTTCTTTCAGTATGCCTACTTTAATATTCACCAGCACAGTGGCATAATGCTTGCCAGCCATGTACGTGGTTCTGGTGTGATTTCCACTCGATGCACTTCGAGACGTCTACAGCTGGTAGCAAACCCGTCGAACAGGGTAGGTTCTGCACAAAGCTAGTAAAAACATTCGCCGTTATGGAAACCGCAAAGCTCAAGCTTGAAGACTTATGTTCCACTTGGAACGCACAGGAATAAAATGGGTACACATTGTAACTCTCCTACCACAGTGTTGTATACATTTGGGTGCTACTTGGAGAATTCTGCAACAGAGAATAAAATTCTACTTGGTCAGAAATGACCACTGGACTTGTTCAAGTAATCCGAAGAAATGGCCGATTGATAACAGTTTATACAGACCAATCAATCTTACGTGAAACGCTTTCGTTTACTCTGATTAAGCAGCAAATGCCTACAGTTCAGACGAGAAAAAGGATAGGTTTAACCCAAAGTTGTTTAGACGGTTAATAAAAGCATACAGTCATCTTAGCGGGTGATTTTAATGGTTGAATGGGGAAGACGAACTAATCTAAGAAGTATATTGAAAACATCTGTGGAGTTTTATGCTTATTGGCTAGCAATACTGATAGTTTTTAGCATTTCTGTCTGGTTAAATACCTGCTACTGCCCAGCACTAGTTTGAAACACAATGAGAGACATAAAATTCTTCCTCCATCTGGAATATCTTCATGGACTCCAATCATGCATTGGTCCATATATCATCTCAGTGACTAAATGAAAGAAGAAGAAATCAAATGTGGATGAAGATTTCTCATGAGGAATCAACGTCTGTATTCATGGGGATAACCAAAAACATTTATAATTATTGTGAAAAAGTCTGACTGCATATTCATTTCATTGTAAAGCCGGTATCTAAGACGTCAGATAACCTGTAGCAGGTTCCTGTAGATTCCTGAAGTCTCGTCCATACTGACTAATTCAGAAAGACTGATCATGGCGAATCTTATACATGAAGGAGAAAAAAGTGCTCAAACATGGGTACACTAAAAGTTTTTGCAGTGACAAGGAGCAGTGGTGGGTGACAAAAGTGGGAGGAATGCTAAAGGTGTCAACTTTAAGTAGCATGCTTCGACTATTTAGGCACATTAGGTACACAGTTTCCCAGAAAACTAAAATAGGTGAAATGGTCTTGGAGTAGGATAGAGGCCTGGAAGCTACTCAGAGTGGACGACTGGGACGTTAGACAGAACATTCTATAGAGTAGTTAAGTTAGTTTACCAAAATTAACCAGTATCCAACCGAGGGCTGAAAGGGATGTAGACACCAGTCCTTCAACTGCAGCTGAGTTTGCAAAACTGATTCACAACAGCAGATGCTGGTGCTATGAACCCAGGTCCGTTCAAGAGTGGTGATAATAAAGCATGGATTTGAATAACTAAGAAATTATCTAGAATACCTTGTTGTCTGGTTAAGAATAAAGGAAACAAATCATTGTGGAATGGAGTTGCGTAGCATAGTATCCAACACTGTAAACTTCATACTTCTGTGAACAATAAGTGGGAAACTAGAGAAAAAAGCACTATAAAACCAAACAGGTTTCAGACAGGATGCTCTGACCAATTCTTGACCATTCAAAGTGAACAGAACATTTAACTCCGTGAGTTCAAGGTGCTTTCCCAGTGTTCGGTTGTGAAGGTATGGTTCGGGAAGTATATGATCCTCATGATACCACTCTACTCGAATCCATAAAGCCATACACGCTCATAAAGAGTTGTTAGCTGAAGTTATGACAACCAATGGCGTTTGTGAAAGATGCCCAATGTCACTGATTTTATTCAGTTTCTTTATAAATGTACTAGTGAATGTGACCTTGGGTGGATTAATTGTATTAGAGACTGATTCGGTACCAGTGGGAGAATGTTGCTTATGATAAATTTCTTTTAGATGACCACTCTGACAAGATGTAGAGTTCTCAGTGCACTTAGACCAATACTCTGAATCTATTTTCCATAAGATTCGCCGCTGTCAGACGCAAGATGTTGCCACAGCACTAGTGTGCACTAAATTCTAATTTGAAAATAGCAAATTAAATGATTGGACATACTCGAGGGATTACATCAAACCCAATGAACAAATTTCGGAGAGAATCCCAGTGCTGGGTGAAAATTACAGTGTCATCTCTAACCCAGGTTTTGTATCTAGCTATCCATCAAAAGACGTGTGCAATGTGCAGCGTTTCTTCTCGAATTTTCCTGTATCTGTGAAGTATGTTTTTTTTATTACAGCTTGATTCCACACAGTTATGGAATTTTCAGCATGTGATATCGGTAGCCCAAATTTTGCAGGCCGACCATAGATATCAGGTGTGCGTCGGCAGGGGATCAAACCTCGGACCATGTGCATGTTCGGCGAGAGTCCTAACCACTGTGCCACCAACGCACAGTACAACTGTTTAGCATGGAGGATTTGAAGAAATCTGGGGTTTTCTGTCATAGGTGTCTGCAGTGAACAACTTCTCTCAGTCGGTGTAATACAGTCAATAATAATAAGGTTAAGCATAGAGTACAAGAGCATGAGGTAATTTCATTTGTGAATCTTCATTAATTGGCCGAAGAAGTATGGCAGCTTGAACCTTGCATGCTTACGCAAAGTTCTAAGGTAATAAGTCACTTGGTCATTGATAAGTTTCAATAAATTCTTTTTAAAAGTATCATAAGAGAATTTTCTTTTTTACGATTCATCTAACAAAGAAATCTCTAGACCAACCAGATACTGGTAAACTTTGTCCTCGAAAAATGCATTACATAATGTAAGGTGCAACCTAGATAGGGTGACTAATTGAAAGTTAGAAAAGAGGCAGAAGTTGACATAACGTATTCAGTGTGAGATAATGACTAATCAATAAGCTAGTGTAGAATGAACAAAAACCAGCGGAAAGGCGATAAAGTGTTTTTATATAAAATATGTATGAGAACGCAGTGTTATCAATAAACAGTAATAGAGTGATAATAAAATATGGATGATGGGAATAATAATGATAATAAAGTAATAGTAGTAATAACATTAATAATAGTGAACTTACATAATAAAAAGAAGAAGCGAAATTATAGTGAGAACTTTACTCTGACCATGGTAGGACGAGTGAATGTATGAAGCGCTTTTGAATGCAGAGGTCCGGTTTCAGATCCCGAATAGCTAATAATTCAGCTATGTACAGATGGCGTATTCGAAGTCCCTTTGTACGATATTGAGGGACACTGTGAATCAATGTGAAGTGTTCATGCAAGTGAGAGTGCTCGATGTCCAGAGATGATAAGGTGTTTGAGGATCAACCTGCTGCTATTCTTCTTTTCTCCTCTGGCTGGCTAGCCAAGCTAGGCAGTGTTCCAGAATATGTTTGTGGACTTGACGTTGCCTACGGTCAATATACTTTGTTCCACACGAGCATGTAAATTGATAGATACACATTGAAGGGGTAAAAAGCCGTATCTTATCCTTAACGCCAGACTGGATTAACCGTCTGCTGGAGAATGTGATACATAAGGCGGCTGTTGGAAATGTCCTCTTTAGACAATTAGACAGGCGGTTTCTAAGAGTATCTGTTGAGATGTCACCTCTGAATTCCAGATTCATAAAGAGAGTTTTCTGAAGAACAGTTGCTATGTTTGGCGACGGAGAAAAGAATCAGTCGAGTGGAAAAAACAACAAAATTCGGTCGGATTTTCAATACAAACGTCAAGTAAGTCAGTTCTTTTATACGGATCAGAAACTTGGCGGGTGGGTCACAAAGAATATTTCCAGCAGCCTGTTGCAGACCTTTATCAACAACTGTCTTCGCTGGCTCTATATTGAAGATCAGATGACCGGGCTGGAAAGAATCACCAACAAGAAACTATGGAAAGAGACAAAACAAGAACCAATCGCCAAATAAAAAATATGCAGGAGAAAGTGGAGATGGATTGGACACTTGCTCGCTGAGGAGGCCGCTGGGTGACATCGCGCGCGCGTCAGGCCATTCCTCGAGTGGAACCACGCCGAAAGGGAAGCGGCGAGTGGAACGTCAGTGAAAGGGTGACATGGAGGAGATCGTGTGAAGGGGAGTTGAAAGAGTATGGACTAAGATGGATGGAGGTGTAAAGTACAGCAGAAGGAAGACAGAAGCAAGTGGAGACGTGCAGCTGAAGCCCTATGTTACACTAGGAAACCAAAGGAACAATAATAATAAGTAGAAGAAAATAGTAATCGTTACAGCAAAACAGAAATCCGACTGGTGTACGCAGCAGTCAACCGAAAACATGAATTGTAGAAATGTGGCCGTTAACATCAAATGGCAAATGAGTGTGGCTTTAATTCGGTTTCAGATAAGTTTATTTGTAATAACGTGTATCGGTGACTCATCACCAATCGTGCTCAGTTGCACTGCTTCGATTCCTTCCTAAACCTCACCCAGTTTATTAGAAGTTGGTAAGATACAGAAAGAGGGAAGAAGATTGGACGTGAAGCTAGCAACCTTGTTGGGTAAAGGCAACGTCATCATTGCTACTGAGACATATAAGTCTGAGGCTCAGCATTCCATCCGAAACGCAGAGGAACAGAAGAATGAAGGAATAAGATTTGATGTAACACCCACAATCATATATATAGCGTCGATAGCTTGATTATTAAAACTTTATCACTGCCTTATATGAAACAAACTTATCTAATATGGAGTCATATTCTGGCATAATGCTCAAATTCTACTCTCAGATCAAGTATGGGATTATGTAGACGTTATCTCTAACTGCCCTCGCTGTGTCTTAATGCTAGATACTCATCACTGTAAGATGTGATTGTGGTGAGAGCTGTGCAGAAGCCAAAATTAGAAACAATCTACGTTAGTGTTTACGTCCCGAATCGGGGTCATGAGAAAAAACAAGAACAAAGACTAAACCTTAATATATGTGTAAAACATGGCCACTGTGGTAGTAAGTAATTCTATATTAGTTTGTTTATTAAATGTATCACATAGTCAGTGAAACAGTATTATTATTTACTGGATGACACAGTTTCAAACACAATTTGTTATTGTTCATAATCATATGAATTGTGATCACACGACTTTGAAACTTGAGTTTCATAGTTTTCTTTGTCTTCTCCTATTTGTCGCAGGGGTGGTAGAATTTTCCAAATGTCCGGGTGGACAGGTGTTGAATCATTCCTTCTACATGTATTTGCAGTTGATTCGGTAAATAAAGCCTCAGTCAGTTATCAATCTCTCCCTCCACCCAGGTGTGACATTAGATTTTGAAACTGTCATCCTATCCTATCCTATTGTATGGTTGTGTGTGACTGCATGTAATGCTATGGCCGAACTATTCTCTAGATTTCTTATCTTTTTTGGGTCAACCAATCTAGGTTTTGCTAGGTTTTTATGTTCAGCTAGTCTGACTGCCCTGTTCTACCAAACATTGAGGAACTCAACAACCAATCACAGCAGACTGAGCGTGGGTGGATACGATTCACAGATATATCATCGGACTGTCTAAGAAACGGTAACGAAGAGATGATAGAATAATCTTCAGCAAGAAAACAACCAATCAGAAGACGTTGCCTGTCTGCTAACAATAACGCTAATAATATTTAATGTACATAAAAATCTATAAATGTCTGTTGATTTTCTCAATGAACGGTCTGTTGCCTGATCCTTGTCTTTTGTCATTACATGATCACTATTCAGCTATTTCGATAATCATTCCCCAACAATACTAACTTGATTATTGTAATTTACACATCACTTTGTGTTGTGACAACTTGACAAGTATATTCTACAGTCTGTTATTGACAAAAAAAAATGTCAGGGGTTATGTCAGTTGACTGGAATTACGTGAAGTAATTGTTGAGTATAAGTCTTTTATAAAAGAATAAACCTTCTAATAGAATTTCATGCATATTCATGTCTAGATTTTGATTTTCTTTCTTCCTTTAGATCCAGTTTTGTTAGACACAGGGATTCAGATAACATGTTCATGTTGGAATGAAGATGGATCTATGCTTGCTGTAGCTGGAACACAAAAGTGTAATCAGGCTAGTTCATCACCGATTTCTAAATCAAATGATCGTGATGTAAATGTTGTACAATTCTATAGTCCACTAGGAGATGTAAGTTAAAGCTTTTTTCTTCAATTCTTCACGTTAATTTTAAAGTAAAATAAATAAATAAATCAATATCAGGTCGTAAAGCACTTTTTTTATCACTTCATTAACATTTTTGCATATTTAGGCCATACTACTTTTTTACCTGAATAAGTAGTTATCAACACCAATTGTTTTTTTTTATTTCTTTTCGTTCCCAGTGGAACATAGGGATTCAAGCGAGAGGTTTGAAGTTTCTGTAGCAGTGGTGATTATTTTTACAGGATGGGGTTGCTAGTCTCATGCCCAACCTTTCATATTTATTAGTCTTACTACTGGCTTAACGAGGTTGGGGAGTGAGTCGTCCGGGGATTGATCCCCTGATCACATAAGGCGTGGATGGCGAGCACTTTACCGCTGTGCCACCGACGCACTATGGGCGTGAGTAGGCATTCTTAATTACTTTACATTATGCTCCACAGTTTCTAAGAAGTTGTAGTTAACAATTGTATACTTTATTTTTGTGAACACCTTCTGGAGTCAGGTCATTCTGCCCCCACATGTGATTTATCCTTCAGAGTTATCTACGGGACCAAATCCAGTCACTCCAAAAGCTAACGGTTTCCTCCCCATATGTATAACCTGCTCAAGCTATAGCTATACATGGACCAAAAACCTAAACCATGTGTTCAAAAACGTTTTGTTAAACACCTTTCCTTACCTTGGTCATAGTAATGTTCTTCATCATTCATCAGTACGCGTCCACACCGCAAGGTTCGAACCCACGACCTTCTAGTTACAAGGCGAGCTAGCTGGTAGATCATTAAGCCACTGGGACCGGATCCGGTGTCCAATGCATGAATTCCAACTTCTGCTAATTCATGAAATAGCACGACCATTTCGAAATGTCTTCTTCAATGAGTTACTGTCTCACCTTCAACCTGCTGCACCCTACTGGTCACGACTTCTCACTAGAACCTCAGGTTGACTGCATGAATATGGCCAGTCGCTAGTGAGCATCAGATCAAATTTCTACAAGTATTGGTTTTTGTAGGGATTTTGTTTGATAATTGAATGAACTGACAGAAATTAGAATTCAATGGGCTATTGGATTGGGTCCCAGTGGCTTAATGGTCTACAAGCTTGCTTATCTTGTAACCAAAAGGTCCTGGGTTCGAGACTCTGTGGGTGCGTACTGATGAAGAGTCCCAAACTAGGACAAAACAGATGTCCAGTACTCCCTAGTGGTTTTCCAATATTACTGAATAATCTCTGAAAGTTTTGTAATGAATCCACTTGAACTCCACCCCTTTAATACATCATTTTAATTATCTTTATACTTATCATATATGCAGTATTGACTGAGAAGTTTTTAGTGCCACTTAATGCCTTCTTTTTCTGTAATGTAAATACGACTGTACAGTTAGCTTCAAAATGAAGTCGTTGAAAAGAGATATTTCTTTGCTGAACAAAAATACTGTTTTACTTTATAAATACACAGCTGATAAATGAACAGCTTTTGAATGCTTTATAAGGGAAATCGATAGAAATCTACAATTTCTCTAACTAATGTCAGCTCATGATGAAATCCTGAAACCAATCAAATCCCTACAAACCAACACTTGAATTTCAAATGGGATTTATCATGAAGCAGGGTGCTATAATCAAAGTTATAAAGTATTAATAACTGGATGACATTTCGAGTATAATTTAATGCTTAGATTCATACCAATTACTCATACGACTTCCCAGCTTGCTTTATATATATATATATATATATTTATATATATATAGGAGGTAACTTTATCGAACAATCGGCGAAATTACTTGTGACATTAATATATTGAAGAGATTTGACTGATTTCACGAAGTTTATTCACGAAGTGACTTCATTCAGAGAACCATTGAAAACGCGAAAGCACTGGAGAGCTCATATCAGTCAATAGTACTTGCTAGCTAGAATTATTATCATTATTTATTATTGTTTCCTTTAGTTCCTAGAGGAACATAAGGCTTCAGCCACACGTCTCCATTTCGTTCGGTTCTCTGCCGACGTTTTCACTTGTCTCCACGTCTGTCCACATGATTTCATCTCCTCTTCACATCACCTCCATGTCTCTCTCGCACAAATGACCGCAGACTTGAGAGTAATGGAAGCTTGCCTTGCTTTTCCGATTCTGGCTTTGATATCCTCATCAGTTTCGTCCGTCTGTAGTTGAAACGATGCTTCCCAGCCAGGTAGGTAGGTAGGTAGGTAAAGGAGGTTGTTTCTTTTAGGTTCTTCCCATTTATGCTGATTGTTATCTGTTGATGTTGTTGTTGCTGTTGGTCAGAAGTCTTCATCACCTCTATTTTCTCTATGTTCACTTGAAGTCCTATCTTTGATGCTTCTTCTACCAAATTGTTGCTTTTCACTTGCATATCTTCCAGTTTGTGGGAAATCAGACATATATCATCGGTGAAGTCCAGATCCTTCAAGTTTTCTGTGTGGTTTCATTTTATGCCTGTTTCCTCGCTGCCCGCTGTCTGTCGCATTATCCAATCTACTGCGACCAGGAAAATCATAGGGGATAGTGGGCAGCCAGCTTGTCTTACTCCCGTTTTTACTTCGAAGGACTCCGTAAGTTTCCCGTCGTGGATTACTTGGTGTACAGTATTATCGTACAACTGCTTAATGAGGTGTATAATTGGTAATAGCACCCAGTAGTAGCGAAGTAGTTTCCAAACTACCTCCCGATCGACGCTGTCTGGTGAAGGCCTTTCCAAAGTCAGTGAAGTCGAATGAGGTAGAGAGCTGACTGCCATTCCAAGCTCTGTTTAATGATGATTCGTAGTGTTGCAATTTGAACGATGCATGACTTGTTTCTCCTGAATCCAGCGCTAACCAGAATAAGATGATCTAAATGTCTAGTAGGTGGATGGTTTCATCGTTTCAGATGAACTTCATCAGCCGTGTACACCAAACCGACTCAACTTAGACAGCTAAATCAGTTTGTCTCCTTGTCTGAATTCTATATATACTATCAGACAGACCATATATACTGTATTCTGAATATTTCTGGGTTTCCAAGAAAAACTCTAATGAATCTTCACTTCAAACTATGGTATTTGCAAAAGAAGAATTTGATTCCCATTGTTTTATTATGAAAAAGAGTTCTTCATAGGCCTTATCCATTCATTTTTAAATATCTGTATTAACTGTTTAGATATTAATGGTGTTGGGTGCATCGCTGACTGAGGGTCTCGTCTTATACACCTATGATACATCTAAGGATAGGATTCTGGACCCTAAAGCCTGCAAGGCGAACATATTACCATTTATGTACTGGGCATCAATCCAATAGTCTATAAAAATAAGTCCATGGTTTAATGATATCTGCGAATATCTGTCCTAACAATGATTCAGTGCATCTTATTGGTCATGACTTATCATTACAACTCTGGGAAGTATATCTCACAGTCAGTCAGTCAGTTAGTGGTGTGTTGTGATTGCGGACACGTTTTACTGAGGAGTTTCCGACTAGGGTTAAACATCCGTTTAGTACTAATTATAAACCAACACTAAAATACCTGAAGATGAGGATCAGTTTAACAGTCACCTCTTTTATAACTCAAAACGGTTTGAAGTGGAAGATGATTGATTGACAGCGATGATCATGTTGATAATGAGTGCTATCCAAATTGTTGGTAGAGCGAGTACAATACAAAGTCATGAGGTTTTCTTTAACACTGAAGTTGACAATTGATACTATGAACTGACCCCTAGTTAAGGTTTCATTCTTATGATTGGACACTATTTAGAAACTAGTGTTTTAATGTGCCCAGTCCTTTATTTGGTGCAGACTGCATTCTCTTGTCAGTCAAGTTTGCAATGTGGCTTCCATTCTAAGTGGCTTGTCACCACCGTGCACTTTGAATTGTTGATATTATATGGCTGAAGGCAATCGGCGACAGGAAGCAACCTAGAATGCTTGCTACATTGCAAACTTGACTGACAATAGAGTTCAGTCCTGCACCAAACAAAGGACTAAATAGACGACACTTGTCACTGAATTGTGTCCAATGAAATTATTTAATACAGTCCTACAGGAGGTCAATCGCCAGCTCGAATAACTGAGTGGTAACGTCTGTGATTTCAGGACTGGTTGACGCGGTTAAATAATAAACGACACTCAATATAAAGTGATGTATTAACTCACATAGCCTATTAAACAGTTCCGTACTCTGCCAATCGGGCTACACGATTAACGATTATTACCTGAACTGTTCTTTCAATGTAATATTCTGTTTTCTCTTCTCTCTTATATTCTGAACAACTTTCAGCTGTAGTAGGGTTGCTGTCTCCAAGCCTACATAACCTCCCCTGTTTTCACGCTCAGAAATTACTAGGTTTGGATTAGAGATACCTCGTTCTGGATATCAAATCCGGACCACTTGCTTGGTTGGAGAGCATTCTACCATTGAGCCACTCAGGGCATTATACATATCCAGTTGTTCGATAATGGAGGGTCATTTAAATTATTCAACACTGACGAAAAATTTGGGAAAGGAAAGTTTTTTATAAGACATCTTTGCTACTGTATCTCACCAACTGAATTGACTGGATGATTGTGACAGCGAAGTTCACAGAACAGGTTATTTTAACTGATAATTAAAGACAAGAAATGAACATACAGTGTTACAAATTCTCAACAATTCAAAACTATAAATCATAAAATAAGTTGGTTTTTGGGATTCAAATTTGCCGCCACCATTGTTCAATGAACATTGAACTGTGTTTCGAAAGTAAACATTCAGTTAATTCTAGTTTTACACATACATAAACGTTTTCTTAAATTCTTCTTATCTCTCTCTCTTTAAATTTTCATTACAGCATTTACGTACACTATGTTTGCCTGGTAAATGTTTAACTGCATGTTCATGGGAAGGCAATGGCTCGTTAAGATTAGCTTTAGCTGTAGACTCATTTGTATACTTTGCTAATTTACGTCCATATTATAAATGGGCGTATAGTTCAACAACAAATACAATAATTTATAGTTATTCACGTCAACATACATTTGATATGTCAGTTGTCTTTTGGAATTTGAAAACTAACAAAGTGAGTTGTTGGCATATATATATATATATATATATATATATATATATATATATATATACTCAATTTATGTAAGTTTTTATTTGTAAATGTATTTGTGGTGACAGCTGTCCACAAGCCAAAATTGTAGACAACAACTGACGTCAATTTTACGTCCCGAATTAGGGTCATGAGAGAAAAAACAATAAAAAAAGCTTAACCTTGAGGAACTCACGAACCAATCACAGTAGACTTAGCGTGTACGAATATGATTCGCCGATATATAGCTTAACTTTTTAAGAAACGGTCATAAACAGTATAGAATAACCTTGAGCAAAAAAAAAAAAACAACCAATCAGAAGACGCTGCTTCTCCGCTGACAATAATGTCGATAAAAAATGTATAAATATCTGTTGATTTTCTCAATAAATGATCTGTTGCCTGTTCCTTATCTTCTGTCGTTACATAGTGACTATGAAGTGATTACATTGTCAAGAATTAAAATAAACGAATTCTTTCGGTAGTCAGATTTTGTTAGCATTCATTTCTACTGGAAAAAGATGAGTTGATAATTGGACTATTTGTTTGGCTAAAAGCGGAAATTCCAGTTTCTCATCCAACATAGTCTAAAAACATATGAAGTAATGTGTGGAACTAGTTCTCATTCAGTATACTCGCCAAAATCGCCTTTCACTTTATTATCCATATACTCGTGAAGCATGTACTTTTGATACGACAGAGTTTCATACACTATGAACTGTTGATCTCTGATGAATTTTCAGCATCACTTAAGTATTATACTATTGTGGTCAAAGCTGTCTGCAAGACAAAATTGTTGACAGCAGCTTACATCATTGTTAGCGTCTCAAATAGGGGTCATGAGAAAAAACAAGAACAAAGCGTAATCTTCAGGATCTCAACAACCAGTCACAACAGACTTAGCGTCGGGGGATACGATTTGCAGATATATCAAGGGACTGTCTAAGAAACGGCAACCTTCAGCGGGAAAATAACCAATCAGAAAACGTTGCATCTCTGCTAACAATAACGAATGATAATGTACATAAAAATCTATAAATATCTGTTGATTTTCTCAATAAACGATCTGTTGCCGTGGCATTTGTCTTCTGTCGTTACATTTGATGTCATTGCCTGCCGACAAATGGAAAGCCTATGTCCTGCAGTTTTTGATGGAGACATATGGATCTTCAGGTGGGACTTCAGGGCTTTTCGCGCAGTTGAGTGGTGCTCAAGATCTGTCAGCGATAAGTCTATTACTTGGAATGCTGCTGGCAGGTCGGGCAAAAACAGCATATCAAAAAGTGTGGGCTGAAACACCAACGAATGCGCGCCAGGGTCAGGCAAGCAGCTTCCAAAGTGGGAAGGGACGTACATGGTTAACGTGAGATGGGGTCACGTATATACTATCAGAAATGAAAACAAAGAGGAGTGGGTGAACTTCGCGAGCTACGGAACTCGATATAGCAAGACAAGCTTACAAAGTCACCAGCACCAAGAAGATCCAACCTAGTTCAGTCGAGAGTTTTGACGGTGGGACGAGTGTGGTGGTATGATACAGACAATAAGTGCCAATAGAATGTTATTCTCACACTTTTCAACAGTTCAAAACTGCATTGGCAACAGAATACTATGTACATTCTATTTCTTGTCGTTTGATGTAAACCGAAATCACACGCTCATTGGTTGGTTAGCGAATATGAACTGTAGATAAATAAACAGCGGTTTGATCAATAGAAAATATACCTTGGCTCCAGTGTCCTACCTTCTGTGAATTAAGCTATCCAAGGGTTTTTGCTGCAGACTACAATCAGCTGGGTATTTCTAACTGACGCCTTTCTTTGTTCTATCCGCACATTAGCTCAGTGAATATTTGTTAAATATATTCATTTTAATAATACTAGACTGTAATGCGACAATCAATAGTATTTAAATAGTGATTATTTATGTTAGCCAGACGTCATACACTGTATATAGAATACATTCTCGATTCTATGATTTCCTCCTCTATTCTAGACCAAAGTGATTTCTGTTCGTCATCTAATTCATATTTGTGCTGCAGAAGAATATGTTTGTTTAGTCTGTAAACTGAATGATTCTAGTCAAGGGGTAAGTTCTAAAAGCATTACTTACTCTACGGTATTTTTTGTTTTTCTAAATATTTGACATTAAATTTGTATAAATGTATGTTGTTTTCTTTCCAATGAAGTGGTCAGAGCAAGAAGTGAAGCTGTTGTATAGATGCTTGTGATAAAAACAAATTTGCATTTTCGCAAGTATTGATTTTTGTAGGAAGTCTTGTTTGATTGGTTGGAGGATTTCATCATGAGGTGACACATCGGTTAGAGAACCATTGGAGTATTGGACAGCTGTTTCGTCCTAGTTTGGGACTTTTCAGTATTACACGCTGACAGGGGCTCAAACCCAGGACCTTCTGGTTACAAGCCAAGCGAGATCGTAGACCGTTAAACCCCTGGGACCCGGTGGTCTACGAGCTCGCCTTGTAATGGGAAGGTCCTGGGTTCGAACTCCTGTGGGCATGTAGTACTGAAGAGTCCCAAACTAGGACGAAGCAGCTTTCCAATGCTCCCAGGTTTTCCAATGGTTATCTAACGTATGTTAGCTCATGATGAAATCCTCGAACCAATCAAATTTGCATTTAGTCATGGAGGAGGCTGTGTGCGAAGGAGATGAAAGTTTATGGGCAACCATGGAAACATCTAAAGAGGACAGAAAAGAACAGAGTAAAATAGAGATACTCTTCTGAAACCTAATGTTCCACCGGGGACCTAACGATTATTATAATATCGTAATAATAATAACAATAGAGGCTGACGTTTTCACTCTTAGTCTTTAAGTTTTACTTTCTTACTGACATCCTAGAGGATGTGGATGATTCTTATGGGAATCCCTAACTCTTTACTATAGTTGGTTTGTGAGGATTAGTTTTGTTTTTACGACTTGATCATGGATTGATGTCAGTTAAAGATCCATTGAAAACCAACCAGGGAGTACTGGACAGCTGCTGTTTCATCCTAGTTTGGAAATCATCGGCAGTACGCACTCACTGGGGTTCAAACTCAGGACCAATAACATTGGTTGGTGATCGAGCTAAATCACGAATTGATAGAAGTTACGATTCATGGGGCATTGAATCGGGTCGCTCCCGATGGCTGCATGGTATACGAGCTTGCCTTGTAACTGGAAGGTCTTGGGTTCGGAACCCAGTGGATGCGTACTGTTGATGCTTCCCAAACTAGGATGAAAAAGCTGTCCAGTACTCTCTGGTGGTTGGTAATGGTTCTCAAACTGATATCATTTTGTGATCAACTCGTTGAAATCACTATCTCTCCAGAATATAAGGTGAAATCTACAAAGAAATGAACTGGGCCTATTCTATTTTTATATTAAAGCGGAAAATATTGTTACCTTTCGCATGCTGGACAAGTAGAACCAGGTCGCAAAATAAAGTGAAAAGTTAGTAAGTTCAGTGAAGTGATCTGAATCTTCAAAGTAGAACTTACCACAACAGGTGAAACAATTTAATTTGTTACACTTCTTAACAGTAGTACACAGCCATTGGATCTTAGCATCTCTCCGGACTCCAGTAAGGTAGTCTACAACTCTTTACCTGGCTTCATGGATTGATGCTAGATTTTGATTTTACCACCTCTGACCCCCTCCTACGTTATCTAACAATGTTCATCGAGAAAAACACCGACTCGGTATGCTTAACACATGTCCTAGATATTTCAAAAGATGTAACTTGACAACCTCATCAGTCTATGACGTTTTTTGGTACACTATCTTAATACATGAATCATTTCTGTGATGCATATAAAATTGACTTAGATCATATCTACGATTGAATCTGTACCGAATTAATAACTTCTAATGAATAATATTGCAGTAATCTGAGTGAGGGCCTCCGTTAACGTTCACGTTCACTTAAAAGCACACAATGAAAGTGACTCGTTTACACCCAGCTAAATATTTCGAGAATTCATTGAGAAAGCCTCAAATGATGTTTATTGCAGATGAGGAGGACATTCAATGCAAAAATGAGTTGATCAAATTATACTCTGCTCTAACTACGACTTCCTTCGACTTTAGATACTTATTGTCGTCCATTCGCCTAGTATAATACGCCTGCTTAAGTGGCTCAGTTATACAATGCTCACGAGCTATGCAGTTTATCCGGTTTCGCACTCTCAAACCCCGTCAGTTTCTTAGTCAATAGTAAGCCTAGAGGTATTTAACCTACCCCTTAGAAACAATACCATCTCCAATGAAACTGAAAAACTTCGGGTACTATATTTCACTCAGATCACAAAGAATGGAGGCAAGAAAAGAAATACCTCACTGCCTCAAAACAGTATTATGTCAAAGAAATCCTTCTCAGGCTTCTAATATGAATACGTCCTCGACTTGTCTTAGTCTCACTTCTCAGTTTGTCAGTCGATAATTCTGCTTAAATTTTTGAAAGCTAAATGAAAGTGAAAAGCAACCGATCATCTATCTAATCAAAAGCAGAATACTAATTTAAAATTGTGAAATACCCCCCATCTAAAGGGTTTTGAAGCTGGCAGATGATAACAGAACGTTGCACTTCCTTTAAAATAAGTATATCTTAGTTTAATTATGATCATGATGGAATGGAGTATAGAATAGTAGTCAAATCTCTCCGCCTCAGTATCATCGACTTCGAAAGGGTCTTTGCCAGCGTTGGTAGCGAATTAATTTGGAAACTGCTGTAACACAATGGAGAGCCCTCATTCACCAGCTATATGACAATGTCATACGCTAACTGATCCACAGTAGAAAACCCAATGAAGACAGGAGGTAAAACAATGCTGCCGACTATCATAGATGATATTCCTAATTGTGGTGGACTGGATCGTGTGGCACACAACGCGCGGGGAGCAGTAGGACAGGAAAATACTGGACTCTGGAGGTTTTGGGCTTTATGGGTGGTTTATGTTTCTAACGTCACATAAACTTGAAGATATACAGGCAAAAACTAGCCTGTTCGCAGAAGAAGCAGCGAAGACAGGACTTCGAGTAAAAAATAAAGGGACAGAGGAAGCATTACAATGAGGAATAGCTTTCACCTTGAGTCTAAGATTAGCTTCTACCTTTAGACGTGGTGTAAGCATGAAGCTTTACCTAAAGTACCATTGATAATATACACTTCGTGCGTCGGTGGCACAGTGGTTAGGACTCTCGCCGACCATGCACATGGTCCGGGGTTCGAGCCCACGCCGACGCACACCTGATATCTATGGTCGGCCTGCGAATTTTGGGCTACCGATATCCACGCTGAAAATTCCATACTTGTACCAAAAATACAGTGCGGAATCAAGCCGCAATCAAAAATAAAAAAAATAAAAAAGAATAGAAGTTGTAACTGTGACAATTGTTTTTGTGAATATTTCGAGGTGGCTATAACCTGTTCTGTACACAGTTAACATTATGCTGATACTTTGTAACATATCAGAAATGCTAGATAAGTCACGTGTACCCTACATCTGAAATCAGTTCGAGATTTATAAGAGTTACTTAATCACTTCAAATAATGGTATATCTGGTGACATTATAGTTGTTTCTATAAATTCTATATAAAAGGCTACTTATTTTCTTAGAAACATGAACAGGGTCACTTCAAAGTGGTTAAAGGATGGTAGCGCACATAATCTTCCCCTAAAATCCAATCACATTTATAATTTAGAAAAAATCCCCATTTAGACATTTAGAAAACAGGAAGATTGAGCGAAGAAATATTTACTTTTCAATTAGATCCTCATCTCACTCTGGCTCTACTCTAATATTTTATGTATAGCATTTTTACTACAATACACAACAGTTTACCAATCAAGTGGTGATATGTTTGTTAACAATAATTAATCAGTGTCAAAATGTCAATGCGACGGGTGATAATTAACGAAGAAAATTAATACACATAATTAAAAGGTAGAAATGGTTTGAATAAATTAATTTTACAAGGATAACACGTAATTAAAGATGAAGTGGTCAGAACAAATAATAAAATAATTTGGACAATTATAATTTGTATAATTTTTAAAGGTTTAATGGGAGGAGGGCGAAGTAGTCCGGTTTATACATTCATCTAACGATGGCCAAGGAAGGTAAGGAAAGTGGCTGTACAAATTTCTTCTGAACACACAGGTTTAGCTTCTTCAGGTGGATTCCTGTTACTTAGGCTGTCTGTAGAAGACGAACTCGTAGAACAAAATTAAGATTAGTCAAAATGCGATAAATCATTTTAAATGCAGTATTAACATCAACCTTGTGCTCACCATCTGCAATAGAGCTACGAAAAGATATTGTTTGTCCCTTGCTTAACCATACTGGAGGATGTTCGGAAATACGATGATGAACCTGCCTAATTATACGACCAATGTGGCTGGCTCCTCAGCTGCAGTCAAACTAGTAGATACACATAGGGGAGACAAATTTAGGTATTTTATCCTTATTTCTCGAAAGTAGAATAGGCGGTGGTGGTGAAGGGACAGCGTACCTCTACTGGATAATAATCTCCTTTAACTGCATTCTTCAGGCGCTGAGTTATTATAATTCACTGATGTCACCGAGGAACTGTAGTTTTATGAATAGTGGTATACAGAGTCTCTTAGGTGCTGAATTCATACTTTTCTCAATGAATTTATCTGGATAACCATTTTTTCTAAGTAATTCTCTCATTTATAATTATTATTGATATTATTATTATTATTATTATTCATGCTTCAGGTTCTGTTGACATTGTGCACAGCACTTGGTGTTGCATTGGAATCAAAACGTGTTCAATTCGAACCAATGCAAACAATGATGACTGGAAATCAAGTGATTTTAATCAATAAAAGTTTTCTTTATGCATGGCAATATTTTACACCAAAACAGATCCTTGAATTAGGCTCAACATTTACAGGAGCAACAGCAACAACAACATCAATTCTACGTCAACGTGATGGAATTGAAAGGTTAGTGACTGCACTATAGATAAAGATATGTATGTGTATGTCATTCAAACAGTGTAGATATTTCAATCAATTTTTAATCCTTATGATATTTACAGGGTTGCCTAATTTATCTGTCAATAGTTTAGTAGTTGAATGCTCTTCGACCATGTGGATGCTAAGAGTTCGATTCGTTAACGACGTGTTCATCTCCTTACCACATTATCCAGGTGGTAGTAAGCCCAGAAATAAAAGTGACATTCAAACCATCCAGAAACTCCTTTAGAAACAAGCTTTTCTCGGTTAAGGGATCAATCCTGTTGAGCCTTTAGAACAAAACAATTCAGTTTATCTAATACCCTTCCTGCAATGATTGTCAGGTCAAATACATAGGCCGAACATAAGAATCTAGCAGCAAAATGTAGATTAGTTGACCCATATAAGATAAGAAATTTAGAGAATATTCCAGCCGTATATAGCACTACATGCAATTACACACAACCATACAATGGGATGGATGGGATAAGATGACAGTTTTAAAATCTAATGTAACAACTTGGTGAAGGGAGAGATTGATAACTCACTGAGGCTTTTTTTTATCGAATCAACTGCAAACACATGTAATAGGAATGATTTAACACCTGTCAAGGCGGACATCTGGAAAATTCTACTACCCCTACAACGACAAATAGGAGAGGACAAAGAAAACTATAAAACTCAAGTTTCGAAGTTGTGTAATTACAGACGATATGGTTATGAAACTGTTTCATCCAGTAAATAATAATAATAATACTGTTTCACTGTGTGATACATCTAATAAGCAAACTGATATGTTGGCAAGCTCAGTAAAGAGTAAAGGCTAGGCGTGAGGCTAGCGACCCCACACGGTGGAAATAATACCATTATCATTACTGAAACTTCAAAGCTTAAGTTTGTGAGCCTATGTTCCAATCGGAACACATAGAGTAAGAGGCAGAATTCAGCTCTCCACTACGACGTCAAATTTTTAAGGTGAATCACAAAGATAAAAGTTTGTCAAGTTATACAAGTTGTCCAGAATTATTTTGAAAATAACTCATACCTAAACGCCTATGACCTTTTGTAAGCAAAATTTATTTCTGAAATATGTAATATATAAACTATGTATAATTTCGATGCCTAAAATGACGTGATCTGCTGATAATTGGTGGATAGTGGGCAACAGCGAAACTCAGTCTACACGACTCATCTTATTTGAAACTTATCAACTAGATGTAGCTGTATCTCTTTGGTTGATTGTTCTCCCACTAAGATAGTCATAATAGTTTATAAAATGTACACAACATCCTGTTATAAAACATTTAAGATAGATTTTAATATAACAAGACTTAGGAATGTTGATTTGTGATTCAAATTTGTAAATACCATTTCTGTATATCGAATTAAATCTTAATAAAAAGAAAACCAGGGAGTACTAGACAGCTCTTTCGTTATAGTTTAAAACTCTTCATCAGGAGTCCCCAATGCACCGAAAGAAGACAGAACTTAGGACCTATAAGGGGTGGACCTGATGACCACTCAGTTATTGCGGCGAACTCCAGTGACTCCAGTGACCATCCTGAATTCGATCTGCGGTAAAGTCATGGGTGATTAATGCTGAAGAGTCTTCGATTAGGATGAAACAGATGCCCAATACTTCATGTTTTTCAATAGTTTCCTAACTGTAGTTGGTTAGTGATCAAACCCTTTGAAAACATACATTTGAAAATCAAAACAAAGATGAATAAGAAGAACTGCATGAATAAAGATTATGAAAAGAAGGTTATACTACGATTAAGACTAGCATTATTTATAACTGTTTCGTTGCAATTATGACCCGTCATCAGCTATCCTATCTAGAGTCCAACAACAACTTTAGGTTTTTTTTTAAGTATTGGTTTGCATACAGGGTTTCGACTGGTTTCAAGACGAATCACAAATTTCAGTATAGCAAAATATTCATTGAGACGTCTATAAAACACAAAATAATCGAGCAAAGAATATCCTTTTCGATAAATTCCTCCTCTTCTGGCTCTACAATCATATATATGTGTTTATATACATAGAATATTCTAGAATAGTAGTCAATAACAATGTTAGTGTTTTTTTTTAAATAATATCGATTTGTAAAGTAAGATCACAATGGAATTACAATTCATTGAAGATGCTTAAATTATAATATTCATAAAAATATAATAGCAAATAGAATATCAACTAAAATTAAGGGAATTTCTACAAAAAGTTGGGAATCATTCAAACCTAGATGGCCAAGGTAAGGATAATGTCTGAACTAAATTCTTTCGGATGCACAAATTAAGCTTGTTAATGTGGATCCCAACAGCTTCAGCAATATTTAGTAGTCGAAGGTTTAGGGGAAATTGAGATTCGTTGATGTGCGGAAAATGACCCTGAAAGCATGGTTAATGTCAATCTTGTGTTCTGTATCCACAAGATGAGATAGAACAGCGTCATATGAATAGATTTTGTTTGTCGTTTACTTAACCACGCAGGGTGATGTTCGGAAATTCGACGGGAAACACGCCTAATTGTGCGGCCGAAGTAACTGGCAGTTAAATTGGCCTGTCTGTCTGTTTTCAGCATAGCACTTTGCACCAATGCGGGGCAGTTCAAGTCGCCACACTTCCTCCATTTAGCATACATATCAAGAGAAGAAAGCAGAAGAAATGCAAAATACAGACAGTGGATAGGGTTATGAGACAAAAGGAACAGTAATAACAAAGAACAATATAGTTTTATTTGATACCATAAGTCGCAAGGAGTGGATGAATCCGCACCAGCCATTGAAGACGATCACTTTGAGCCATATCACCAATTGTCTCCAGCCATTGTTGTTTACCGTCTCGAGGACCTCAACCAGGAAACTGGCCTACACCTACCTACGTGACTGGCTTAAAGTAACCGTTGTGGATTTCATTAAATGATAAGGCGATGTTTTGGTTTGTCAACCACTACCATTGGCTCTTTCCCAACTTGAGCGGTCCTAAGTCAGCTGACATTGCCCATTGTCGAAGAAGGCGATGGATAAGCATGCATGTGTAACACATGTCCTAACCATCTCAGTCGATGTAACTTCACAGCCTCGTTGATTGATTTTCCCTCCTTACCTACCACTTGACGCCTAACCTCAATATTGTGCGTCGGTGGCACAGTGGTTAGGACTCTCGCTGACCATGCATATGGGCCGAGGTTCGATCCCCTGCTGACGCACACCTGATATCTATGGTCGGCCTGCAAAATTTGGGCTACCGACATCGCATGCTGAAAATTCCATACTTGTACCAAAAATACGGTGTGGAATCAAGCTGTAATCAGAAATAAAAAAATAAAAATAAATAAAATTATTATACCACCTAACATGGGAGATAAAAAGCAGGCACCTATGATAAAAGACAGCTAGCCTACCTTTTAATATCCTCCACTCTTAATGGCCAGCTATCACAGCTATAAAGGAGGAGGGAGCGGACTGATGAGCAGTACACACGCCCTTTGGCTGATAGCCAGATATCACGTTTACTAAGCCAGAGATGGCGTAAACTGGCATATGAGAAACTGGTAGATACACATGGAAGAGGCTTCAGTTAAAGAATCAGTAAAATCCAGGGAGTACTGGACAAATATTTCTTCCTTTTTTGGGAATCCTCAGAAAGAAGCTGAAGGACTGAACCTTTCAAGTTACAACGTCAGCTGGTAGACTATTTAGGTACTGAGATAGAGTCCAAATAGCCCATGAATTGTAACTTCTTTCAATATGCAGTATATAGCGCAACTTGTCAGTCAGCGTCAGAGAACTTAGGCAGGTAGTTTATACTTTTTTGGACAACTTTAATCAAAAATCACTTACGCCATTATTAAGTAAGCAGTACGCCTTGTTTTCCCTACCATAACTTGGCACAACTTCTATTAGCCCAGTTTCTTGTGACAGATGATGAGTGGACATGCAAAATATCCAGAAAAATAATGATGGAATCATATTTCTTTTAGTAATGTCATTACATTTGTTCTTATTATTATTGTTATTTCTAAAAAACATCTTTAGACTGTATCATATAGATAAAATTTCAATGAAATCATTGTCAACATCTTTAGAAGACGACATGCCTTCATCAGTACTTCAGACAGGAATCGATTGGAGTATACTAAAGCAAACTGAGACATCTGATCCAATCTGTACACTAACCATCAGTCATTCAACTCGACGGTTATTTATTGCACGAGATTCAGGGCTGATACAATTGCACAGACTACCAGATTTATATCTTGAAATGAAATTTCAAACAGATGATAATCGTCCTTATCGAATATACGTGAATTGTGATGCAACGTGAGTGAATTTCAGAAACAGTAATAATAATAATAACAACAATAGCTGGTATTCTAGACAGAATGTTTTAGCCTGTTTTATTTCATGAAAAGAGAAGACGATATTAAATAGTCGGCGGCAATCGGCTACAGGAAGCCCTACCCGACCTACGTTTTGTGCTAGTTGGCACTCACTAGTCAGTCAGCATGGCGTATCTGAAACCATGAAGGAACTCATGTCCCTTCTGAGATTCGAACCCGCGAGCTGTTCGGGCTCGCGATTGAATAGCTCAGTAGTAACGTCTCTGACTACAGCACTGGGTGACGCGGGTTCGGATCTCAGAGGGGAGGGACATGAGTTCCTTCAAGGTGACTGCAGATACACCATGCTGACTAATGAGTGCCAACTAGCGCACGAAACGTAGGTGAAGCAAGGCTTCATGTAGTCGATTGCCTCCAATTATCTAATATATATCATCAAATCAATATGCACCGTGATGGCGAGCTACCTAAAATCGTGGCCACATTGAAAACCTGATTGACAGAATACAGTCTGCACCTAAGAAAGGACTAGACACGTCACACTAGTTACTAGTGTGCAATCAAACTAAAAAAGAGATGACATTCAGCGAAGAGACTCTTTTCGACGGCGAATTCGTTCACACAGCTGTACAATCGTATTTATATACAATTGTTTTTGAATGTGTGTGTACATGAGGTTTGTCAAATTTAGGTAATTAATTAGGTAATACACAAATGATCTGAATTATAAACAATGTTAATTGGACATCAACTAAATTAAGATTCAGTTGGTAAGTTAGATTACGTAATACAGTTGACTAAAATGTTCCAACTTAGGTCAGGGTAGCAACAGAGGTAATTACAGGTAGAAACTAAGTAGAAGTGGGTAGATAATAAAGCCATTTAAATTAGAACTAAAAGTGAGAAAATAAATTGTATGACGTAACATAAATGACTAGAAATTGAGCGTTGGTCAAGTCAGTAACAGTGGTAATGAAGTGTAGAAATTCAATCGGGTGAGGGTAGAGAACAGGAAAGTTGAAAATGTAAAATATTACAATTGAAAAGACAAAATAATACTAATGAAGAGGTAGAAAGAAAGGAATAGAATTTACCTGTCGCTTATTAAGATAGATTACGTCCATTGTAAGTGTAGTGACTGAACGAACTTCTTCTGTATGGAGAGTTCAGGGCTTAGCAAGTGAATCGCCATTGCTTCTGCAGTTTGAAGAACTTTGAATCGTACACTTTTAGGAAGACTACTTCGTATTCTGTAAACGACTTTGAAGTTTAGTAGCTTGATGTCCTGAATCTATCAGATGTTCTAAGACAGAGCTGCAGGTAAGTGTTCAGTGAAACGTTCGGAAAGCGAGCGCTGCGTACGGCTGACATACCTGACTGAACACTAGCAGGTGAACTGGTAGATACACATTGATGAGGTGGCCAGCAGTGGTAGCTCATCCTTCACGTTCATACGTATCATAGGTTTTGTGGAGAAGGTTAAGCCTGGTTTAGCTGCTTGATTTTACACTATTTGCTCTTTGTAAGATGACTTCAAGTCAAATATTAATGGACAGTGTATCAGTTGAGTTGAGCAGTACTATTCCATCTGAAGCAAGCTTTAGTCCCTCCCTATACTTCTCTTTCGTTGACTTAGATTGAGATCTATTTACAGTAGACATGAGCACAGATTACAACTCATTTAGAATGAATCAAAATGATTTCTTCCCGTTTGCTTCTTGATAATGGAAGGACAATAATTAATCTATAAGCGATTTCTATTCTGTATATCTCGTCACTCGACTATCGTATTCCAAGGGAAGTGAAATTTTGTCCTGTTTTATAGAGATGTTCATCATCTGTGTTTTTGAGCAGTGGTAGCCTGCTCTGATCATACTTAATTCTTTTATTAATTAGTCGTCAGATAAGGCCGATAGTGGATGATTACAACAGTATGGAATGCAGTAAATTTGTCATTTTATTTTGGTTGGAAAAATAAGTAACCCATTGATGTAGGCAGACTGCTTTGGATATGCATAGATGTGCATAGTTTTAATTAATGTATAACCTTAGGATTTTATTCAACACTCCGAACCACTCTCTTCTGAGTGTTTTGCAGATCTTAACTGTCTGAATTCGATGACTACTTTTGATTAAAATGAAACGTTTAAAGAGAAACTGGTTTTTTTTTCAACTTGTGCTTCGACAAAGTTCATCAGTATTGGTGAAATACATAAGTTTTGTATAGAACTACTTTTGTCTCACGATGATTCTTATTTTCCCTGTTCCGAAGGGATCTGTCCAATATGGCTGCAAATAAGATCCATCATACTAGTTATAATAATATTATAGGTTTGAAACGAGACGTCTGTGGTCAAGTTTTCATTTCATACAGAAATATACTACTGGGCGGACTAATGTAATTTAAACACTGGGCGACTAGTTCATCGACTTGAAACCAAACTGATCGATGATGTTACGCGCTTTGCCTCACTTCAAATTGCCAAGTCAGTTCAAACCATCTAAATTCCAGTTGGCTAATTAAGCGAACTAGTAATATAACTCAGATTGCGTTTGTAGTATCCAGACTGTACAGTTCAAGGGGAGAATACAGGAATTACATTCAGATCACAATATGTGATATGCCTGATGCCAAAACTCGCAGTCAAGAAAGCAAGCATAAGTGCAGATGTGTGCTGCGAAATTTCCAATAATTAGACTTTTTCAGGTGACTATATGATCCAGTGTGATGTACAACGGGTTGAGAGGGCTATAGTATTATTATTATTATTCCCTTGGGTTCCAAGTGGAATATAGGGCTTTAGCAACACACCTCCACTTTCTTCTATTTTCTCTGTTACTCACTTCATTTGGATCCACAATTGCCCATAATCTCTCATCTTTGCTTCCCAGAATAGTCTCCTTCATGTCAGCGTCGCACCGACGACCTATTAGTGGCTCCCCATTCGGATTCCTTTCGTACGATGGCCTGTATTGCGCGCAAAGTCATTCGGCGGTCTCCTCAACGTATACCCGATCCATCTCTAATTTCTCCTACATATTTGTTGATTGGTCGGCTCTTGGCTGGTTTGTTCCTAGGCAGAGTTTCTTATTACTAATTCTTTCTGGCCAACTGGCAATTCGATCTTCAGTATCGAGCCAGCCAGAGAAGTGGGCAGGTATGTTGATAAAAGTCTGTAACTGGCTGTTGGAAATCTTTTTCGTGACACGCTCACTAAGTTTCTGACCCGTAGAGAAGAAGCTGACTGACTGATTGACTTCACATTTGTGTTGAACAGAATGCGAATCTTGTTTCTTATGTTTAGTGCAGGAGATTTCAAAACCTGTTTCAGGTTGATGAAGGCATATCTTGCCTTTCCGACTCTTACCTGCTTTAACATCTTTATCCATTCTGACTGCCTGTGCTTGAAACGATGCTTCGAGGCCAGATAAGCAAAGGAAGTAACTTCATTCAAATCTCTCCCATTAATGATAATTGGTGCTGGTTGTTGTTGTTGCAGTCAGTGGTGGCTGGTTATCGTCAACATCTCAGTCTTATCCATGTTCACCTGAAGTGCTGTCTTTGCTGCCAGCCCGCCTCTTTCTACAGTTTGTTGGTTGGTTTATCCCTTCAAATCTTCGAGTTTGTGTGACATTAGGTGTGAATTTCTCCCGAAAGAAATCCGAAACGATAATCCAAACTATAGATTTAACCACACGTAGAGTGACGCGTAAAGTCCAAAATACAGGATATCCTGCAATACGGTACTTTATTACATAAAAATAGATATATAATATACAAACCTCAGAATGTGAGGTGTCTGTGGCTAAATGCCGTCAAATGCACAACCACTGTGCAGTCAATAAGTAAAAACAGCAATGCTGTGTCAAGGTCGATCCACGCGTCGGTTCAAACAGCCCGCGAATGCCAAGCAAAGAATAAACAAATATGAACAAACAACTTTCAATAGTAAAGCATACACTATAGGGTAAATGCAGCAAATAATGTTTAAGGAGAAGAAAAATAAGAACTATACATTAATAGAATGATAATAGAACAAGTAATTTAACTGCAGTTGTAAGCAAATGTCATCGTTATAAATTAACACATTAAAATCATACTACTTACTAATGGCAAGTAGTCTAATGTTGAACAAAGGAAAGATTGAGAATGAACAGGTAGGAAAGGAATTAACATTAGGCATATATCATCTGCGAAATCTAGACATTCTAGAGCCGTCTTATCGGTAGTCTAGCGTATTCCTGTCTTCTCACTCCTCACATACGATGTGTCGTATAATCCATTCCATCACAATGAAGAATGTCTTTGGTGATAATAGGCAGCCAACTTGTCTTACTCCTGTATTCACTTTGATGAACGCCTCTCTGGGTTTTCCGTTGGTGATCACCTGACACACGGTATTGTCTTATAGCTGTTACATTATAGATTAATCATTATTTAAATTTGTTAATTTCAGCCTGTTTACGATATACATCTTATTTTCTTTTTTATTGAAATGTATATGTATGTTTAGCTGTTTGGCTGTTATCGATGAGTCAGGCATACTAAGATTACATTTAATACCTGATTCATATAACAATCTACCTTCATCAGTGAAATTTCAGGATATTGACAATTTTATACGAAAAGATGTTTGGGATGTTAAATTTGAAGAAGTGAGTTTACTTATATCTATCAGTAATCTTCCTTTTGTTAATTATAATTCAATTGTCTGATTGGACACTAGTCAATGACTTATGTCATGTATTCAGTCCCTTGTTAACTGCAGTCTGAATTCTATCTGTCAAGTTTGCAATTTAGCCACCATGATAGGTAACTCGCCATCATGGTGCACTGTAATAATAGATGGTTGGAGGCGAGTAACCTAGTATGGTGGCCAAATTGAAAACTTGACTGGTAGAATTCGGTCTATATCAAACAAAGAATTAGATACATTACACTAGTTAGCGTCCAATCAAAAGCATCTAATATAGTCCTACAAGAGGTCAACTGCCATCCCGAATAGTTCAGCGGTAATTTCTGTGACTGCAGAACTGGTTGACGTGGGTTCGAATCCCAGAGGGGGAGGGGCATGAGTTACTTCAAATGGGAGTTGCAGATACGCCTTACTGACTGGTGAGTGAGTGCCAACTAACACGAAAAGTAGGTGAAGCAAGTCTTCCTGTGGTTGATTGCCTCCAACCATTTAATATCAAGAACTCAAATATGTTGAGTGTCAGACGATTACGTGTACAAATCAGCTGAAGTACACTCAATGATTTCTTCCACTTACGCGGTATATTAAGTTATTTTGGTTGATGATAACTATCACAGGAATTTTTCATCCTGTTCGAGACTCGTTATTTAAAGGTACCTATAGTCCCAGTGAGTGATAGTGTTCTCAGTTATATTTGAAGTCTGCACTCATCTTTTTCTTGATTCTAAACAATATATTCTTCCAATGTAACAACTCAAGCAGATGCACGTAGATTTGTGTACACAGTTGCAGTTAACATTAGAAGGGTGTCTGTGGACTTTTGATTCCACCAAAAAAACATATCCGATAGACGGGAACCGGCTTAGCTGTAGGATGAACTCTAGCTAGTGACATCTTCAATCTTCTGTTGACAATTGCTGTAATATTTTCACCTTTAAAGTCAAGTTGAATGAAGATGGGCGTTTTTCCCACTGGGATTTGTTTGACATTTGAACCATTAAGGGTAACCGTTGCTTCTCAACATCTCTTCGAGAAGTATACATTCTTTCTCTAATTTCTCTGTAGAGCATATTCTCTTAGTTCTATAGTATAGAGTCTTGACTAGTGCTCATAAGAAGCTATTTAGACAATAACTGATGCCTGTTGCACAAGAGGTGGCTCTTGTAGGCCTCGTGGCGTAATGGTTAATACTTTGGTAGTTGAAACGATCTCTTAAGGGTTCGAGTCTCAAATGAGGACACCGTCACTTACTCTAGGTACATCTAGGTGACGAATTCCAAGGGGGTCGAAAGGCATGTCCTCAATTCCACTGCTAGTCATCGTCAACCAAAGTAACTTTACATCACTCCTTAGGCATCACTAAAGCCTCCATATTAGGAGATGATATGTGGATAGAGACCAAGCATTTCTGTCCAGCATACATAAATTGACTGTACGTCGGTGACAGAGAGGTTAGGACTCTCGCCAACCATGCAAATGGTGCGGGGTTCGATCCCCTACCGACGTACACCTGATATCAATCGGTCGTCCTGCAAAATTTGGGCTACCAATATCACATGCTGAAAATTCCATACTTGTATCGAAAATACGGTGTGGATTCAAGCTATAATCAATATATATATATATATATATATATTAGCTTATATGTGAGCGCCAAGATTGAAAATGCGAAGATAGATTATGCGGCAACATACTGACTAATCCTAAATAGCAGCTTCAACTTTGATGTGGTAGTAAGACTTGATTACTACAATGACTCAGCAAGTAATACAGACTGCAACAAATGTTTTGCACGTCATACCATGCCAGGAAATTTGTCTGGATAGCATTTAGAACAAAAGCAGTTGTTAGCATAGTGTAAGTCCTTTAAATTGTGTTACAGGCTGAGAATAATGTCGTACAGCAAGTGACCAGCAAGCCAGGCGTGATGAATTCCTTTTTTTGTAGGTGTATGAGCCTAGAAAAGGTTGACTGCAAACGTTTTTTATACTGTGAACTACCCTGAGGTATTTGATGCCACTGGTATACTCTTTGTGTGGATACAACTTGCACACAAAAATGATAGTGCAACTAGTTGAGAGAAAATTATCTATCCTTATCATGACTGACTAAATTATTTCAAAAGGGAATGTTGGAAACATTTTACTGGTGAATTGGAGAGTTTCTTATGCTTACAGAATGACTGATTAGAGTTTCATACATTTATTCCCTTTAATGAATTTGAATAAAGCACGAACAACAGTTTTTGCAGAGCGAAATGGTACCATCATTGTTTATTTCGTTGGCTTTTCGTCAGCTGCCTACAGCCCAAAGCCATTATTAAGTGTATCTACAGAAACAGTTTGAATATACTTGCACAGAGTTCAATGTTAAACAAAAATCAATCAACCAATATATGCATACAGTAATAATATTTATATTATATCATATTAAACGCTATTCCGAACAATAATTATCATACATAATGGAAACTTTCGGTATTACGTAATCAGATGAAAGAGAGAATAAAGATATCCAGTTACCAGGTCAAGGAAAGACTGATAACCGCTTCTTTCTGAAAGCACAAATCAGGTTTCAGGCGCTTGATAGGGATTGCTTCGGCAAACTTAAGGAGAATGGAACTCTTTTGCGTATTGATAATTTTGAACGATCTTGTAACGTTCACCTGATGACCCGTGTCAAAGAGATGCCTGGCGATGTCACAGTTTAAAGCATTGGTTCCCTTTAGACATAGGCTTTTTCGTACATGTTCAGAAAATCATAGATATACCTTTCTTTCTGTTCTTCCAATGTAACTGCTTCCACAGATACATGTAAATTTGTATATACATTTGGAGTTAACATGAGAAGGATATATATCGATTTTTGATTGCACCAAAGAGCAAGCTGTTCGATAGTCGGTGACGAGCTTAGCTACAGGATAGGCTCTGGCTAGTGACATCTTCAATCTTCTGTTGACAATTTCTGAAATTATTGTTATTATTAACGAAGAAAGTGGGGTCGCAATGGTTAAATGGTTGCAAGCTTGACTTGTAATCGAAAGACCCTGGGTTCGAATGCAGGTGGGTGTGCACTGCCAATCAGCCTCAGACTAGGACGAAACGGCTGTCTTTAATAATAATAATTTGCTTCATTCCAAAGCAGTACTTGTGATACAAAATTGAATTCTCAGCATCCAGTTAGTACATTAACAATAAATAAAGTTCCACATAGATTAAGGGTAATCTCAGCTCGTCTTGACAACAACATATTGGCATGTCAGTAGCAAAGGCAAAAGTGAACAGAGTGTTTTAAGGTGTTAGAAAAGTAGACACTAACTAGCATATTTACTGGCGTAAGCGGTAACAAAATGGTCGAGATATACAGAGTGTGAAAGAACGAAGAATGTTTTAAATAGAGTTTGTAAGGAAGAGAGAAACAAAGCAGCACATTACAGAATAAAAAGAGAGAGAGAGAAAAGGAAAAGAAAGAAAGAAAAACGTTGTACCTATAAATGATATGAATTGGAAAGACGAGATTTACTTGTTCTACTGACTATTTATTAACTTATAGGCATCACGCCTAATGCATTCTTTATCGCACAGAACACGAACGAGCTCAGTAGGGTATGGTTGAGTTTTTGTACTTGCTCGTTCGAGCATATAGTTTCCTATATAGGCTTCTGGTCTGGCCTGATGAGATACAAGGGGAGAGTTGTGAATGAAGAGGGTGGTGTGAGTTAGATAAAATGGATTTAGCCCATTTTCCACGTGTGTCGAAGTGCCTGTCGACCAGAATATTAACAAGCTGGTTAAGTGGCACGTAGCTTACCCTGCTGAAAACCTTTAACATCCTGCGTAATAAGATATAGTCCTTCTTCAGTAACCCTGGAAAAACTAAGGGGGAACAATAGAGAATAATAGGCAGAATGCGAGAGTTAACGAATCGTAAGAGTAAGGGTTGGGTTATTCCAGAATGTCTTAACTTTTTGATATGGAAGGTCAGACGGAATATTTTCTTAGAAGTCATCAAGATAACAGACGACCAGGAAAGATCAGAAGATAGGGTGACGCCTAGGTATTTAATTTCTGACTTCGTTTCAATTTCACTGCCATCAATGTTGCACACCTCGTGAGTGCTAACCAGTTTGTTTAGGTCAGATTTATGCCTAGACGTGAAATCGACTGTTTGACATTTAAAGGGATTTAAGGTTAGAACGTTTTCCTTGGACCACTGGCTGGTTTCTGACAAAAAGCCATTTAGTTTGGAGCAGTCACTTTGACATTTGACAGGCAAAGATACAGTCAAATCGTCAGCATATTTAACAAAATTAATGTCATTTGAAGATGGTTAGTCATGTAGAAACAAAGAAAAGAGAAGTGGGGAGAATATAGCACCTTGGGGGACACCAGCTTCAGTGAACACAGCTGAGGAGGATTTGCCTTTGTATACGGTATACTGCATTCTGTTAGAGAAGTAGTAATGCAACCAGTTAGCGACCCAGGACTCAGTTTGCGTCACAGAGAGCTTATTTAGTAACAGACATCTAGGTACAGAGTCGACAGCAGAGGTGAAGTCGAGAAACATGCAGCGGACGTATTTGGCACCTTTATATAATGATGAGACGATACTATTGTGTAAGACAGCTGCAGCGTCTAAAGTGCTCCTACCCTGTCTATAGGCTAATTGTCTGGGGTCTTCACAGCTTTTAAGGGAGGGTTTAAGTTTAAGAAGTACTAGTTTTCCATAAGCTTAAGAAACGGGGAAGTAATGGCGATGGGTCTGAACTTTACATTCTTGTTATTGCCAGGTTAGGGACAGGGACCATTTTAATGTCTTTCCATGCAACATGTACAACGTTTATGGAAAAAGAAGCATTTAGGATGTTAGTAATTGGAGAACATAAAGCATCTGCACATTATTTTAGAACATAAGCAGGTACACCATCAGGGTCAAGGCAATGTGAGGGCTTAAGCGTCTTACGACATTTTAGAACATAGAGACTATTAAAGTCATGAAATTTATCAGCTACATGATCAGTACTCTCTGTATTTTAACAGTCTTCCAACTGTTATCACTCTGAGGTCAAACTAGAAAAGTGACACTCTTATTGAGTAAATAAGGTAATAGGTTAGGTGTACATTCGCCATATTTAGTTTTACACCGCTCTTAATGTCGTATAAACACATGGTGCGATAATACTTGATACTGGTTGACTGACTAACTGACAGTGCAATACAGCAGAAAAAAATAGAGCAGAACATGCACGAAATCACACCAACACGAGTATATCTCATAGAGAAGTAATTCAATGTGGATTGATGATATTCTGAAATTCCAGGTTAATATGGTTGCATAATGAATCACATATTTTGATGATGAGTTTTAAACTAGGACAAAACAGATATTCAGTGTAGGTGAAACGACAGTAATAGTAATTACAAAGTTGTCTGCAACATCCATATAAGTACAAATATTGTGATTTTATCATTCAGGAAGGATCTTTCAAACAATTGTTCCGTTATAGTGATTGTAATGAAATGACCGTCTGTGTAACAATTAATTTTCAAAGTTCAACTGGTAGTGCACTGGACTAGTCATTCAGAGACTGGTGGTTCAAATCCCAACCGAATGGAGATTTCCACTTCACCTTCAGTCATCACGCATCACTGATATTATCGATTAGTTAGTTAACTCAATGAATGACATGCTCAGGTTGTTAGTCATTAATCTCAATTGATTTAAAATTGATATTCTAATTTCTGATACACTGATTTTATTTACAATTTACAATAAAATTAAAAAACAACAACGACAGGATAATCCGCATATGTTTGCTATAATGGAAAAAACTCGAATGTATATATTCGATGGTCTGCAAGCAGAACCAGCTGTACAAACGTCTACTTTTCTTTATGAATTTAAAGATTTAGAAGTTCAAGGTATTCTGCTAGATGAACTGGTTGGTGCTGCAGATCAACCGAATGAAGAATTTCTATTAAAGACTCCTATAAAGGTATGTGTATTCTTTGTATTTTCATATAGTATCCCTTAGTGTTTCTGATGAAATATAACATGGAGAGTATTAAAGAAATTAGTTAAGGCTGGAATCTGATTTGTACATTGTGTACCTAGAGACTTACATGATGCACGTTATTTTTTATCAGAGAGTAACGTTCTTGAGAATCGGTGTGTATTGCAATTAGTAGTGTCCTCTGAGGTGGTTGGTTTAATTGCGGAGCTTTCGTCACCCACCTTCTGGACAACATCTTCAGCTCAACTTTTAGCATAAATTGAACTTATTTAAATTCTCTATGAGTGATAGAATTACGTCTCCTGGTAACCATCTCCATGGTTGGTAGTCGATTTACATCTGTACTGATCAATCTTTATTGCCTTAAATTTTAAACTTTTTCGTCACGTGATTTACTTTTTATTAGTTGGTAGATTTGGTGTATATTAACAGCTTTGTTAATCGCTGGCTGATTCTCTTGAGAACCAGGCTTCTAGGAATTCCCTGAATGCACTTTTGGTGTTGCCTCTGTTTTTAAAATTTCGGCATTATCACAATCATCAAATCGGTGTCCATAGTTATCCACACGCTTTGATAAGAAAGAATATAAAGCATGTCTTTTTTACTGCTAATTTGTGTTCTTGGATTCTGATTCGAAGGGGACGCCCACTTAAACCGATGTAATGTGTGTTATAATTCATACAATTTATTTTGTAAACGGTATTAAATTTATCTCTTTTTTCTGTTTGGATCTTTTGCTGTGCACAAATGGAATGAAGTGATTGTGTTGGCTAGCTTGTGTGCTATGTCTATTTCAAACGGTTTCAATATTCTAGCTATTATTTCAGAGATATTCTTGATATATATATTGTAGGATACGTTTTCTTGTGGTCTTTGATGCTGGCTTGTTGTCGGTGTTGTAACTCGAGTTCAAACACTTTTTAACGAAATTGTGAGGATATTCATTTTTTTTTTTGAAGACGGCTCGTAGGTATTTTTCCTGCATTCTTTTCAACGCTAGAGTAGTGCTACAATATGTTTGAACTCTCTTAAGCAATGTCTTCACAGAGTTTCTTTTGTGAGTAATTAGTTTATTACTACTATGGTTGAGTATTTGGTCTGTGTAGACGTTATACTTGTGTTTCCAAATTTCCTGTGTTAGTTCTCTTGATTATGACATCTAAGAATGGAATTCTGTCTAACTCTTTTCTTGTGAATTTGATGTATTCAAATATGTTGTTTATTAATTTATGGGTATATTCCAAATCATTTCTTTTAATTATTACAAATGTATCATCAATGTAACATACCCAGACCTTTGGTTTAACTTTTGGCAGGCAGAGCTATTAATTCTAATCTTTGCATGACGGCTTCATCTATTAGTCGTGATATGGGTGGTCCCCTTGTCTGTTCCTTTTATCTGTTCATATATTTGAGTATTGAATTGGAAGTATGTTGTAAGGCATAATTTTTGGAGTTCTATCCAAAATGAACATTGCGTTTTTATGTTTTCATCACTATAGAGAAGTTATTGCATAGTTTTTTTTGCTAGTTTCGGACCAACTGGAGTATATAATGCTGTGATATCAAACGACACCATTATTGCATAGTCATCCACTTGAACATTTCTGATATTCTCTAAAAATTGGATTGACGAATTTAATAGAATGGTCGCATGATTCTGTTAGGTAATTGAATTTCCTGAAAAGTTCTTTAGATAGATTCTATGCTGGTGTTCCTGGAAGCGGAACGATTAGTCTTAATTGAATGTTTGGTTTGAGTAATTTTGGTCCACCACAAAATAGAGGTAAAAATACTTTGGCTAGATTACATTTGGCCACTGATCTCGTTGTGTAATTTCTCCCGATTTCCTTAGTTTATCTAATGTATTATTTTGATTTTGTTATCTAATGTTTGTATAGGGTTTTTTTCGCAACTGTTGATTACACATTAATATCTTTGAGTAAATCCTCTGCTTTTTTTATGTGTTGTCTACTGTGTCCAGGATTACTGTTGTTCTTTCTTTGTCAGCCAGTAGAATAACCACATATCTTCTATTTTTCAGTTTTTTCAATGTATTTTGCTCTTCAGGGCTAAGTTGGGAATTATATCTTTCCCGTGTTTGATTATAGGTATGAAACGGTTTTTGTATGCCTTCTTCTGCGATGTTAGAGTAGAATTTGGGCACTGTTAGGATATAATTCCATATTAAATAAGTTTCATTGATTTTAAAAAAATCATACTGGTGGATTTGATTTTCTACTGAGTTTGGTTGCCAACCTCACTCTTCACATTCTCGCTTTTTGGGGCTTGTTACAGGCTCGAAAACTAGGTGGACTGGGGTCTTCTTGATTGGCAATCAAACCAGAACCTTCCAGAAGGTTATTAATACTTATTATTATTGTTCCCTTGGGTTCCTAGTGGGACATAGGGCTTCAACCGCACGTCTCCACTTGCCACTTCTGTCTTCTGCTGTACTTTTCACCTGCATCCATGTTAGTCCATACTGTTTGTCTTGTCTATGTTCACTTGGAGTCCCCTCTTCACTGGCTGCTTTTTCGACTAGTTTGTCGGTTTTCGCTTGTAAGTTTTCGATTTTGTCTGACATCAAATATAAATCATCCGCGAAATCCAGGTCTTCTAGGTTCTTCACGCCAGAAGGTTATTCGGCATTCTAATATTGAACCTACGACATACAACATTTTTCTCATGGGTAATAAATCCTGATCGAAACATCATTATGTTATTAATACTGTATTATTGTGTCATATATCGAATTGACTTATTCAGTACGTCTTATTCTGCGCCTCCAATATAGCTGACCGATTCAGTCAAATGAAGTGGGAGAGTAATGTGTCATAAGTAGTTTTTTCATTGCATTTCTAACCTAAGACTGCGTTGAAGACTGAGTCATTCTAATTTCCACTGTAGCCTTCGTAGCGCTATTCTATCTAATTTTACGGAAAACAGAACACGAGATTGATGTCAACCAGGCAGCTTTCAAAGTCAGTTGCCGTATACCAACCAACTAATCTTAACTTCACCTTAAGAGTTTGTTTACCAAATACTGCTGAGGCTTGCTGTTAGGATCTACATTAAGAAGCCTAATTTATGCATCCAAAAGAAGTTAGTTCACACATTGTCATTGTTTACCTTGGCCATATAGGCTCGAATGATCCTCAACTTTTGTAGAAATCTCCTATATTTTAGTTTATATTCTATTTGATATTGTATCTTTATTAATATTATTATTTGAACATCTTTAATGAACTGTGGTAATTCCATTGTGATCTTACTTTACAAATCGATATTATTTAAAGGGCACTCATATTGTTATTGAATGCTAATCTAGAATATTGTATATATATAATTGTAGAGCCAGAAGAGGAAATTATCAAAAAGGATAATCTTTGATCAGTTACCTTGTGTTTTATGTAAATTAAGTTTGTCAGCAGGAGTGTAGACTTTTGTTAACTAGTGTAAATGATTGGTATCCTAAACGTGATTTACCACGGTTGGTACCTGTAAACTGTAATATTAGGCTGAGTGACGGTGGGGGTGGGTGTTAGTTAGACGGTGAATTTGGCTTCATTTAAACAATAGGCAAACTGAGGAGTCTACTAACAGTAGACATGAGGCTTGTTGTATAATACAGAGAGAATCAAAAGTTATCTAAAGCAGAGGAAGTGTATTAAAAACTGACCACTAACTGGTGTTCTGGCAACCAAATAATTGCAATCATTTTTTTATTAATTATGGACATGGTCTATTTATTGATACATGAAGTTGTAACTGGCTTTCATTGTGCATGTGATTTGCTTGGCTTTTGTTTCATGGAATTAAGCTTCATGCATATAGGCACTTGTTAGCCTGGTATATTTGCGACCTCGAAGGATGTGATTCTTCCTCACACCACCCATCATTTGAGATATGAAGCCAGTCATTGAATATCTATTGAAATCGCATCACGGTGGTGGCGTATCAGCCATTTCATACTTGATTGATAGAAATCAGACAGCACCAACACTATGAATTAGACGTATGACATTAATTACTCACATGCAATAGTGAAAAGCAACAATTTGGCAGGAGAAGCATCAAAGGTAGGACTCCAGTGAAGATACAGAAAACAGAGGTGACGAAGATTCCTGGCCAACAGCAACAGCAGCAACAACAACAACAGACAACAATCAGCATAAATGGGAGGAACCTCAAAAAAACAACCTCCTTTACCTACCTGGGAAGCATCGTTTCAACTACAGGCGGAACTGACGAGGATATCAAAACCAGAATCGGAAAAGCATGACAAGCTTTCATTACTCTTAAGTCTGTGTGCAGGTCAACAGCACTCTTCAGCATGAAGTGTGAAACCTGGATTTTCAACTCCGATATGAAATCAGTGCTACTATGCGGATCATACACTTGGCCTGTCATAAAAGGCACTTCGAACAAACTAAAAACCCTCACCAACATCTGTTTTCATCCCATAATCAAGATCAGATGGCCGGCCAGAAAAGATCAGCAACAAAGATCTCTGAGAGCAAACCAACCAGCAAGAACTGATTGTGAAACAAACAGGCAGGAAGAAATGGAGATGGATTGGCCATGCGCTGAGGAAACAAACAATCAAATGACATCACTAGACAAGCCATTTCTCGAGTGGAACCCAAAAGGGAGGCGGCGAGTTGGTCGTCAGTGCGAGGGTGACTTGGAGGAGGTCATGTGAGGAGGAGATGAAAGCATGTGAGCAGACCTGGAGCGGAGTGATAAAGTTGGCAGAAAACAGAAGGCAATGGAGACGTGCGGCTGAAGCCCTATGTTCCTCTAGGAATTAAAAGAAATAATAATAATTCTCACATACAATGACCAATGATTGATGTAAGTGGGATCATAAGTTTTTTTTTCTTAACATCGTTTATTAGTATGTATTCATACTACAAAAAATATCAAACAAAACAAAAAAAATCACCTTTTTTATCTACCCGGAATACATTATTATTATTATTATTACTTCAAACTATTCTATGCCAGATGACTGATATTCTCCTTTTTCCTTTCATTTAGAAAGTTAGAGATTTTAAACAAATACTCGAAAAAGATGGTTTTGAGAAAGCTGCAGAATTCATCACTAACAATCCACATGTTCAATTAAGGTAAGACATACGGAAAAAGTGTTGATATTCGAGTATTGGTTTGTAGGGATTTGATTGATTAGTTACAAGATTTAATCATAAGCTGACATCGGTCAGAGAACCATTGGAAAACCAGCCAGGGTGTACTGGACAGCTGCTTCATCCTGGTACTTCGGACTCTTCAGCAGTACATTTCCACACCACAGAGTTCGAACCCAGGACCTTCTGGTTACAAGGCTGGCGAACTCGTAGACAATTAAGTCACTGGGACCCGATTCACTGGCCAGTGCATGAATTCCAACTTATGTCCCATTCACGACATAGCGTGACTACTAGCCAATGTCTTCGGCGAGTTATTTGTAGCTAGACTTTGTTTTTTCCGCTAAAATACCTGATCAACTTACAAATGATAGATGACTTTAACTAACACTTTCATAGCATAACACAACAGCAACTGATGTAAAGAATCAAAGGGATCTGCCTCTTTTCTTATTAATCAATTCTGTGAAAATAGTGCGTCGAGGATAAGGTGTACATGATTTGGCTATATAGAGATACCAAATTGCAAATAAACAATCCTTAACCAAGTCTCTTATCTTCTACGGCTACAGACTGATACAAAATGGAAGATTCATTATTTATTATTCCTTTGATTTGACTGACATTAATATCTTCCATATCTCATATTTACGGTGAGTCATTCCTACTGCAGTGTAGACTCGATGAACCAGGATTCAGTAATCAACCTCTCTCTATATCCACCAACCTATGTTACTTTTTAGAATTTTGACTCTGTCACACCCACCCTATTGTGTGGTTGTGTGTTAATACATGCAGCGTTACTGCTGAGCTTTTTCTAAATCACTTGTCTTCGTGGGATCGATCTATCTAACCTTAACTAAATTCTAATGTTCTGACAATCTGACTACTATTGATCTACTAGTTTGACCTATCTAGTTGACTTAATTCACAGCCATTGCAAAGTATTTTGTATATTACATTATTTTGTATAATTGGGTCAACCGAAAGGGTCCTTTAACCTACAACGCTTGTCGTACCTGAATGAGTTTGTAGGTTTAAATGGCACCCTAATTCCTGCTTTATTAGCAGTCTTACAATTGGGATCTCAGATGTTGCCTCCTTATATGGTAAAACTGTTGATGTCTTACATATTATTCATTATCTCTTTTCAAACTTCATTCATTTTTATTCTAAGACATTACTACTTTCGGTCGGATTTAAATTATGTCATATTCAGATGTATACGCGGTAAGCCGAAGTGTGGTGAGAGCTGTTTGCGAGACAAAATTGTAGACAACAATTTACGTCAGTGTTTACATCCCAAATCAGGGGCATGAGAAAAACAATAACAAAGCTTAACGTTGAGGAACTCACCAACCAATCATAGCACGCTTAACGTGGGCGGATTTGATTCGCAGATATTTGGCTTAGCTATCTAAGAAATGGCCACAAAGAGGTAACAGAATAACCTTCATCAAGAAAAGCCAATCAGAAGGGGCTGCTTCCCGCTAACAATAACGCTATTAATTATACACTTAAAAATCTATAAATATCTCTTGATTTCTTCAGTAAATGATCTGTTGCCTGAACCTTGTCTTCTGTCGTCACAGAGGCATTTCTGTTTATCTCCTTTCTTACATTCCACATCGAGACTGACTTATCATTTAAAACAAAGAACTGAGTAAGTTGTATAGCTTATGTAAACTAACTAAATCTCTAATGTATATGTATACTTACTGAACCCTATGTGAATTTTCCCCTTTATTTCAAAAGGCGTTTGTTAATTGAAGCTTGTTTAGAGAAACAAGATTTGGATATGGCGGAATTACAATTTGTACATTTACAAGAATATTCTGGAATACAATTTATTAAAAAATTGAGAAATATTCAGTCAAAATTAATTAGAAAAGTAAATTCTCAATGTTTGAGCATCCTCTGTTTAACTTTTTTTTAAATTATTATTTTGCATTATGTATTCAATGGGTCAAAAAACATGCCATTTCCACGATGCCACATTTTGCATGAGAAGACATTGGATAAGTTGAAAGCAGTGTAATGAAAATGAAGATGGGAGATGTGCTGCAGAGGAAATAACCAGATGGAATCTAATGAGGAGTCTTGGAATCCGGAAGGTAAAAAGGAGTGAATACAACTGCATCACTGGAGACAATTTTGAGCCATTTCAGTAACAGTCTTCAATCATTGGTCCATAGCTTCCCGAAGGTTTCAGTAAGCTTGTCTGAAACTTTCTACATGGTTCGAGCCAGCAATTAAAGGCCTCATGGATCGAAGTCACGTTTTTATGTCTGGCTACTCGTAACCATTTCCAAACCTAACTCAATCTCAGCCTACATTACTCAAGGAAGAACGTGGTGGCCTGGCGCACCTGACAAATGTTTTAAAGTATTGGTTTTGTAGGGATTTTGTTTGATTGCATGGAAGATTTATTCATGAGCTGATATCAAGTAGAGAACCACTGGAAAACCTGGGAGCACTGGACAGCTGTTTCGTCCTAGTTTGTGACTCTTCAGCAGTACGCACCCACCGGGATTCGAACCCAGGATCTTCTGGTTACAAGGCGAGCTCGTAGACCATTGAGCCACTGGGACCCGATCCAATGGTCCTTGAATTCTAACTTCTTCCAGTTCACGACATAGCGCGACCACTTCGCAATGTCTTCTTCGATGAGTTACTGCCTCATCTTCAACCTGCTGTACCCTACTGGTCACGGCTCCCCACTAGAACCCAAAGTTAACTGCCTGAATAGGGCCAGTCACTAGTGAGTACAGATTAATTTTCAAGTATTGGTTTTGTAGGGATTTTTTTTGATTGCATGGAGGATTTAATCATGAGCTGACATCAGGTAGAGAACCACTGGAAAACCTGGGAGTACTGGACAGCTGTTTCGTCCTAGTTTGGGACTCTTCATCAGTACACACCCCCAGGGGTCGAACCCAGGACCTTCTGATTACAAGGCGAGCTCGTAGACCATTGAGCCACTGGGACCCGATCCAATGGTTCTTGAATTCTAACTTCTTCCAGTTCATGACATAGCCCGACCACTTCGCAATGTCTTCTTCGATGAGTTACTGCCTCATCTTCAACCTGCTGTACCCTACTGGTCACGGCTTCCCACTAGAACCCCAGGTTAACTGCTCATGATTAAATCCTCCATGCAATCAAACAAATGTTTTAGTTGGTTAAGTCGATGGATATTCACAACCTGATGTACTGACTTTCCTTTTTTTTCTAGTACTCTACGTCTGACTCTGATATTTCTTACCAAACTGTGCCACCTAACAGAAGCTACTGAACTCAGATATGTATATAAATGAAATCATCCAAATTCTTCACATCTCCCATCTTCAACCGTTATGCCTTTCAGCCGTAGAGAAGGTCGTTATTGACCTGTTGTACTGTGCACCCATCCTTCAATGAACAGCTAAGCATTATGTCTAGATTATAAATGGCAGAGGTTACCAATTACTGAATGACCCTTTTTCTTTAAGCATAAGATTTCGTCAGTAGTAAGTTTAGGAGGACTGAGTGTAACTGTTTGAAGTGAACAGAAATTCAGTGCTACTAAATATTTGATAATATACATAGCTGGCTTGTTTACTAAGAGAAAGAGAAACTTTGGAATTTTACTCTGATTAATTGAAAGTGATGCTTGGTTTCTGAATATTGTTTTATCAGAAAGCCTGTTAATTTTAACAAACACTCACTACCAGTTCTAAAAAAACTGAGTTTGATAAGTTACAGACAGCATAACAATTATCATTATTATTGGTGTTTCCTTGGGTCCTGAGTTGAACATAGGGCTTTAACAACACATCTCTACTTCCTTATATTTTCTGCTGTCCTCTTCTGGTGGGTCCATGATTCCCCATAATCTCTCATCTCCTCCTGCAACACACACGATCTCATCCGTGTCAACTTCGCACTGACGACCCAATCATCGCTTCCCATTGGAATTCCACCCAAGCGATGGCCTGCACTGCGCATGATTTCATTTAATGGCCTCCTCAGCTCATGTCCGCCTAGATTTTCTTCTACATATTTGTTCCACAATCGGCTCTTGATTAGTTTTTTGGCAGAATTTCTTATAGCTGATTCTATCCGATTGGCCATTTGATATTCAGTATTGAGTCTTCGAAGGTAACTGTTGATTAAAGGTCCTCAGCAGCTTGTTGGAAGTGCTTTCGATGACATGCTCACCAACTTGCCTTCCTATATAGAAGAAGTGACTTAGCAAGCATAACAATAAAACATATTTCCAAGAGTTGGTTTGTAAGGATTAGATTTGTTTTTACGAGTTCGACTACAGATTCATATCAGTTAGAGAATCATTGAAAACCAGCCACAGGAAGTACTGGACAGATGTCTCATTCTAGTTTGGGAATCATTGGCAATACTCACTCAGTGGGGTTCGAACCCAGTTTCCCGGAGTTCTAGTGAGAAGTTGTGACCAGTGAAGTCCATCCAGTTACGTGTGAGGATGGATGTCCCAACAGTGACATTGGTCGGTGGTCACTTTAAATTACAAATTGGTAGAAGTTAGAATCCATGCATTGGCCATTGAATCGGGTCCCAGGGGCTGAACGGTAAACGAGCTAACCTTGTAACCGGAAGACCCTGGGTTCGAATCCAGGTTGGTGTGTACTACCGATGAGTCCCACATTGGGACGAAACAACTGTCCAGTGCTCCTTGGTTTTCAATGGTTGTCTAACTGATATCAATCCGTGATCAAACTCGTAGAAATAAAATAATCATATTTAACTGGAATTAATTTTTTATGTCATAAATCTACTTTATATTATTATTATTTTATTATTGCTCCCTTGGGTTCCTAGTGGAACATAGGGCTTCAACTGCACGTCTCCATTTTCTTCTGTCTTCTGCTGTACTTTTCGCCTGCATCCATGTTAATCCATATTCTTTCAACTCCTCTTCACACGATCTCCTCCATGTCACCCTTGGACGTCCCACACGCCGCTTCCCTTTCGGGTTCCACTCGAGGGCTTGGCGCGCAATGTCACCCAGTGGTCTCCTCAGCGAGTGTCCGATCCATCTCCACTTTCGCCTGCATATTTGTTGGGCGATTGGTTCTTGCTTTGTTTGTTCCCATAATTCCTTGTTGGTGATTCTTTCCGGCCATCTGATCTTCAGTATAGAGCGAAGACAGTTGTTAATAAAGGTCTGCAACCTTTTGGAAATATTCTTTGTGACCCGCCAAGTTTCTGATCCGTATAGAAGAACTGACTGACTTTACGTTTGTATTGAAAATCCGAATTTTGTTGGTGATGCTGAGTGACGAAGATTTCCAGATTGATTTCAGGCTGATGAATGTGTTTCTCGCCTTCCCGATTCTCGCTCAATTTGACATCCTCGTCCGTTTCTCCTGTAGTTGAGACAATGCTCCCTAGATAAGTGAATGAAGTAACCTCTTTCAAATTCCTCCCGTTGATGGTGATTGACGTTGGATGTTGTTGCTGTTGTTGGTTGGTTATTTTCATAACCTCCGTCTTGTCTATGTTTACCTGGAGTCCTGTCTTTGCTGCTTCTTCGAACAGTTTGTCGGTTTTCGCTTGTAAGTCTTCGATTGTGTGTGACATCAAACATAAGTCATCCGCGAAATCCGGGTCTTCTAGGTTCTTCACGTCGGTCCAGGATATTCCTGTCCTCTCGTTTCCCACAGTCTGACGCCTAATCCAGTCCACCACAATTAGGAATATCATTGGTGATAGTAAGCACACTTGTCTGACTCCTGTGTTTACTCTAAACGCCTTGCTGAGTTTTCCGTTGTGGATCACTTGACATGTGCCGTTGTCGTACAGCTATTGAATAAGGTTGATGAATATTTGGGGTACGCCATAGTACTCGAGTAATTTCCAAATTACTTCACCATCAACGCTGTCGAAGGCCTTCTCAAAGTCTATAAAGTTGAGGTAGAGGTTTGATTTCCATTCCATGCTTTGTTCTGTGATGATGATGCGTAGAGTTGCAATTTGGTCAGTACATGATTTACCTGCTTTCCTGAATCCAGCTTGTTCTGGTCGGAGTTCTGTCTCCAGTGCGTCCTTTAATCTCTCCAGGATGATGCGACTCAGGATTTTACTTGGCGTCGATAGGAGCATGATTCCTCCCCAGTCCTTGCAGAGTCCTAAGTCGCCCTTGTTTGGTAGTTTCACGAGGTAAACTTCCCTCCAGTCCGTAGGCACCTTTCCCTCCTTCCAGACCTTTTGCAATAATGGAGTCAGCATGTCTGCTGTCGTCTCTGGGTCCGCTTTCAGTGCTTCATCTGGTCCGGCTGCTTTTCCAGCTTTCAGAAGCTTGATTGCGTTCAAGACTTCAGCTGTCGTCGGAGGATTGGTGTTAACTTGCAGTTGTGTGCGCGCTGTTGTTGGTATTTCTGGATGGGTTGCAGGTGGTGGTTGGTTCACGAGTCTTTTGAAGTGATCCGCCCATTGTTTAATCTGTTTTTCTTCCTTGGTAATGGGCTTCCCTTGGCTGTCTTTCATAGGTTTCGCTTGTGTTGGTCTCTTCCCGGATAGAGATTCGGTTATCTGATATAGTGTCCTCAGGTCCCTTTTGCCTGCTGCCTTTTCAGCTTCAGTAGCTAGATTGTCGTAGAATCGTTTTTTGTCCTTCCTACTTTATAAAGGCTGAATATTAATCTTTTTTGTTTCAAAATTTATGTTTTTAAAAAAAGGCGGAAATTAGTGCTTACTTCAAAAGATATGATGAAGCTGAAACGCTATTACTGAAAAATGATCGTCCTGACTTAGCTGTAGAATTAAGAAAACGCCTGGGTGATTGGTTTCGCGTAGCACAGTTAACTAAAGATACTGGTATCTTGGTAAAGGATATAGAACAAGCTGAAATATGGAATGCTATGGGTGATCATTTCTTTAGTCAAATGTTATGGTAAGTGAACTGTGGCTTTGATTTCTGTTTTATTGATTATAAATATTTAAATTGTATGAATTCGTCATGTTTATTGACGTGTTTGTTTGTATTTCAAGTAATTGGGGAATTTGGTTGACATAATTCACTATGATTATAAATTATGTTCTGCATGTGAAGTAGCTTTCCCAACTTCGCATAATATTTCATTATTTTCGATAGCCTTCTCATAATCTTATACTGTTGGAAACTTTTGTTCTGTGTTTTACGGCAACATATCTCTGCTCACTTTCCTTTACAGGAAGAGTATAGGCAGACGGGACAAAATAATCTTGATCTGAACTAACAAAAAGGACGTAGTAAGACGATCTAAGGATATATATATACGTATATATCTTCATTTTAGTTTTTAAGTTATCGATTATATCTATTATTATTCATCCTATGGATTCGGAAGGGAATATGACGATTCTAAAGCACATCTCTTGGCTTTTTGTAGCTGATTCTGTGATTCTCCACAGGCTCTCACATCCTCTTAACATGATCCTCAGATACATTCTTAATTGATCGCCAAGTGAGAGCCTCCAGAGAGTTGTCATGTGAAGTGGTAACAACTAATGGTGCCCGTCAAGGATGCCCACTGTCCCCATTTCTGTTTAATTTCATCATAGATATCAAAATAATGGACTTAACCATAACTTCTGACTTCAGTGACTCAGGGATTGACTTGTTACCAGCAGGGAATAGTCTTGTTGACTTAGAATATGCGGGAGATATAGTCCTTCCACTTGGGTGAAGACGCTAAAAAAGTAGAGCAGAGTCTTCTGAACATCTTGATCAGAAAGCAATCTTCGAATGTTTGGCATACGATTGGCTTCCGTCAAATGTAAGATGATGTTACAGGACTGGACTACATCGACTTGCTCCTAGCTTGAACTTAAGATGTGAAGTGGTTGATGGAGCGTGTTGATCACTTTACTTATTTGGGAAGTTGCATCAGCCAATGCCAGTGCGTTGATCGCAGACGAAATCTCAGCACGGATACAGAAGACTCCTTTGGCTTACGCCAACCTACACCATCTTTAGCTTAGTAGACGTGATATCTGCTCACGCTGTCCTTCTCTATGTTTGTGATTGAGACAAAGCCATTGGAAGTGGAAGACATGAGAAGGCTGGCTAGCTGTCTTTGATCATAGGTGTCTCCCTTCTATCTCCCATATTTGGTGGTATAACAGGGTGAGCAATATTGTATTTAGGCCTCAGTCGAGTGCTAGGTAAGAAGGTAAACCAATCGACGAAGTTGTGAGGTAGTTAGGACATATGTTACGCATTCCCAGCCATCTCCTTCCTCGACAAGCAAGGATTGCTGACATACGGTTGAAAAGGTTGGAAAAGAGCTAGTGGTGGTCAAACCAAAACGTGTTGTACGGCAATAGAATCCACAACAGTTAGTTTAAGTCAACCAGCCACGTAGGAAGGTGTAGACTGACTTCTTAGTTGAGGTCATCGGGATAGAAAAAACTGATGGGTGAAGAAAATTAGTGTTATGGCTCAGAATCGTTCTCAATGACTACGGCAGATACACACCCACTCCCTGTGATATATAACATCCAATAAAAATCGACTGTTCTTACATATTACTATTCTTTTTTGCCTCACTAGCCTCACTTCTGTTTATTATTTCTCTCTGTTTTGAATCTCCCTTTACTGTCTTATCCTGCTTCGTGGGCTACTTGGAGGAAGTGTGACAACTCGAACTGTTGCACATCTGTGCAAAGTGCTACGCTGAAACCAGTCAGTCAACTGGTCACTTCATATCTGGGTTCCACTCGATGGTCTACTGTGTAATAAAAATTTAGGATCTCCTCAAAGTATGTTCAATTCACCTACATTTCCTTATACACATTTATTAGGTAATAAGTTCTTGGTTTATTCCTTTTCGGAGTTCTATGTCGCCTATTCATTCCCACTGGCCATCTGATGTTTAATATCTGGTGGAGACATATTATCAATATTTCCCATGAAATCGATTTTGTGAACACAAACGTATCACTATCAACCTAGTAACCCTGTTTAGTGTTTTGTAACCTAAAATTTCTGAATTGAATTTTAGTTTTTAAATACTTTGAAAGGTTTTTTGTTTTGAGCTGAAATAAGCCTTCGAAATATACTTATTATTAACTAAGGCAAACCCTTCAACCGAATAATGAATCATTATGATTACATGGGAGATTTTTGAAACTATCCAATTTTCCTACTGTTTTGTTGATGACACAACATTTACTGTCTTATGTTCTTAAAAACAATTAATTTTTCTATGCGTTTATTCACTTGCAGACAATTCATAAATGTGATAAGATGAATACAGATAAAATACAAAATACTTGCAGGAGGCAATGGGATCTTGTAAAACATTTGGTAAAGCTTCGGCTAATTTCTTAGTTTGTCTATCCTATCTAGCACCATCGACGAAAAGACCTGACACATAAGCGCCTACAAAAAAGAAAACAAATTGAAAATACTTTTAGATGAAAGTACAGCTGATATGAGACTAGAGTATAAAAAAAACACAGCCATGTTCAGTATTTTCTCACTACAGTGTTCTAAGAAGTTTGATCACCTATCATTCACTAAATGTTTTATTTGTGTTGTTGAATGTTTTAGATTTGTCAATAATTAGACTAATGAAAAAAGTCATTAAGGATAATGTACAGGTTGCCTTCGTCTAAGTGAAAAAACTAGACTAGTGGAAAAGCTGTAGGACAGTGATAAAAAGGGAGTGAATAAAGTATTTTTATATACAACTAGGAAGCCGTCTAGACGTATTCAGCAGTGAACACTTCTATGGCTGTCAAAACGGAAATTTAGGTTTATTGGCAGTTATCTTCGCGGGCACATTGGTATTTAAAATCACACAGACTTAACAAAACTTTTATCCAGACTGATATATAAACTGACCCAAAGTTTCCCAAATTGACTTCGTGGTATTATTCTTAAGTCTACTATTGTTAGTGTATTATTATTACCCTGGGCCCCGAGTGGAACATAGGGCTTATTCAAACAATTCATTCGTTTGTTCTAGTTTAACATGTAACATTGGAACTTTTATATTGAATAAAAAGGTAAATGGCATTAAAAAACACAAAATGACCATTTTATTACATAATGATGTAATCGCGACCTCCTTCAGTAGTTTGTACTAATTTTATCTTTTTTTCTTATCAAGGGATAAAGCAGCCAGTTACTATCGGCAAGGAGATGATCTCATTAAATTTGCTGAATGTTTATACCAAATGGAAGACTATCAGGCAATTGAAAGATTGATAGAAGAAATGCCAGAAGGTCATAAGGCTTTATACGATTTCGGCTTAAGATTTGCCAGCCTCGGTATGATACAACAAGCTGTGTTCGCATTATTAAAGGTTAGTTTTCTAAACTTTCTCTTTTTTCTATTTAATGAAGGTAGAGGGGCATATTAGTTGTAAGCAGTCAGTGACCATCAGATTGGCGGGAAAAAATAAAAGAAATGTTTATTGGCGTAATGCCTGAATGTGAAGTGAAAATTTACATCTCAACAGTAAAGTTCATCCATCTGCCGATCATTTTCTGAATTAATTTCACTTATGAAGTTTTTCCCCACCTGTTATTACCAATTAAATCAACTCGTTGTGATCTGAACGCAAGAAGCCAGTCTCTGAGTCCTACTGTATAGCTTGCAAAATGTCCTCGAGACACGTGCGGTGATGAAACACTCCAAAGACAGTAAAAAGATGACTATTCTTCAAGAGATCTACTGTTCTATTAAACAATAATGAGAACAGCAAAAATATTCATTCAGACATCTATGATTAAACAAAATAATTGAGCAAAGAAGATCCTTCTCGATAAGTTTCTCTTCTGGCTCTACAATTATACATGTATGTTTATATACGCAGAATATTCTAGATTAGTAGTCAATAACAGTATTGGTGTTTTTTTAAATAATATCGATTTGTAAAGTAAGATCACAATGGAATTACAGTTCATTAAAGATGTTTAAATTATAATAATAACAAAGATATGATAGCAAATAGAATATCAACTAAAATTAGGAAAATTCTACAAAAATTGAGGATCATTCAAACCTAAATGACCAAGGTAAGGATAATGTCTGAACTAGCTTCTTTTGGATGCACAAATTAGGCTTCTTAATTTGGATCTCAACAGCTAGCCTCAGCAATATTTAGTAGTCGAGCTCATAAGGCGAAATTGAGATTTGTTGGTATGCGGTAAATGACATTGAAAGCTGCCTCGTTGACATCAGTCTTCTGTTCAGTATCCACAAGATGAAATAGAGTAGCGCTACGAATGGATTTTGTTTGACCTTTACTTAACCACTATGCAGGGCAATGTTCGAAAATCCGACGAGAAACACGCCTAATTGTACGGCTTAAGCAGCTAACTGGCTGCACAGGAGCAGTTAAATGGGTAGACACACATGGAAGAGGCGAAATTAGGCAATTTGTCTTTTACTCCCTAATGCAACATAGGAGTGGTTTTGAAGACACAGCGAAATTTGGCAGCAGGGAAGGCTCTTGTTACCTCATTTCTAAGGCACTGTGTTAGTATCTCGCTGATATTATCCCCAAGGAACTGAATTTGTAAGAATAGGGCCGTTCTCGAAACTGTTGATAACTTGGCCTGCTTTGATTTCAGATTCATGTTCTTATCAATAAACTTTTCTGGATAACCATTTTCACTCAGCAACTGTTTAATATTATTAATTTTCTCATCAAGACATTCATCCGAGAAAAATTGCTCTTGCTCTGTGAACCAAGCACTTTATCAAATTGCGTTTGTATTTCATGGGCACGAAGCTGAAAAAATGAGTATACTGAGCCGTTGGTGTAGGTTTTCTATATACACACTTCTTCTTATTGCACCATCCTCTTTTCTGGCCATAAGGACGTCTAAAAATGAAATACTAGAGTCTTTCTTTTTCAATAGTAAAATTTATTGCAGGATAAACCTCGTTAGATTTATCCAGGATGCTCTTTGCTTCCTTCTCATTTTTCATAATCAAAAATATTTCATCCATGTACCGACAATAGAATTCGAGTTCATTAATAACATCCTTCAAAGGCCCATTTTCTAGTTTCGCAAGGAAAATGTCGGCTAGAATCGATCCTAGTGCTGACCCCATTGCGACATCGTCAGTTTGTCTATATTGTTCCTTATTAAATTAAAAGTGGTCATTCATTGTACATTTCAAGAGAAGCTTTTTCATAAAAGATATAGGAATGCCGACATCGATGTTTCGTCTTATGAGTTCTTCGCATGGAGAATTCACTGCTTCCATAAGTGGTACATTTGTGAATAAGGAAGATACGTCAAATAATATCATTAATCTATTGTCAACATTTAAATCTTTTATCCTTTCCACAAATTCAAAAGAGAGAAGAAGAGAACATCAAAAACCCAAAATGACCTAAACGATGCCGTTAGCCAGCTGTAAAGTCCAGGGTAAATAAGAAAAACGAGTATGTAGAACCAGGCAGAATACTTTGATGTGGTTTTGTTCTCCGAGCTGGATGGTTAGTTTGCGGAGCTTTCATCACCCTACTGGGTGGCATACATCTTCAGCGCATACTTCAATTTATTGAAGTGAGCTTTTAGGTTTCTCCACGAGTTTATTAATCATTCCTCCTGGTGACCTTGGACGTGATTGGTTGTTTGTGTGTGTTTTCACACCTTCTAGGTGGCTACTTGTATTGGAACTGATTGTTTCTGTGACTTGAACTTTGACCCTTTGTGTCTGAAGTTTCTTTCTAATTGGTTGATAAATTTTGTCTATCTCGATGTGTCTATTGATTGATGATTCACTGGAATGCCAAGCTTCCAAAAATTCTCTAGCATTCTTGTTATTTCCTTTGTCTAATATTTGAACGTTGTCCCAGTTGAATTGATGTTCATGGTTGTCTGTGTGTAGTGAAATGAGGGAGTGTATATCATGTCTTTTGACGGCTAGCTTATGTTCGTGGATACGAAGACGAAAATGCAAAACTGGGCAGATCACAAAACAAGACCAATGGCGAATGAAATCCAATGGACCAGTCCTACCCCGATTCTACGGCATACCCAAAATACATAAGCTAGCCGTCAAAAGACATGATATACACTCCCTCATTTCACTACACACAGACAACCACGGACATCAATTCAACTGGGACAACGTTCAAATATTAGACAAAGGAAATAACAAGAATGCTAGAGAATTTTTGGAAGCTTGGCATTCCAGTGAATCATCAATCAATAGACACATCGAGATAGACAAAATCTATCAACCAATAAGAAAGAAACTTCAGACACAAAGGGTCAAAGTTCAAGTCACAGAAACAATCAGTTCCAATACAAGTAGCCACCTAGAAGGTGTGAAAACACACACAAACAACCAATCACGTCCAAGGTCACCAGGAGGAATGATTAATAAACTCGTGGAGAAACCTAAAAGCTCACTTCAATAAATTGAAGTATGCGCTGAAGATGTATGTCACCCAGTAGGGTGATGAAAGCTCCGCAAACTAACCATCCAGCTCGGAGAACAAAACCACATCAAAATCATCCACCTGAGCTACAAATCTTCTCTATCATATCAGGCAGAATATTCCTAAAATGGCTTGGATCAAAAAAAATATTGTCCACAAGAAACCCACCTCAATGCTTAACACTAAAAGTTCAAAATCAAAATGACCTTGATCCACTCAAACAAAATCACATCGTAAGACAACACAATATCAATATCTGAAACAATTAGTTTCCTTTTTGAATTTTAGTTATCTTCACCTAGAAGTATTGCTTATCCTTGTGGTGTCATAAAATTTTCAACAAAAAAAAAATACGACTGATTCCCTCCTGGTCCACACACTTAACATAAAGATCCATCACTTTTTCAACGCTTCGATCATCTGTCCAGCTATTGATATAAGTATAAAACTTGGGCGCTGTGGTAGAGTATAACTCCATTATAGATAAGATTTTATTTTAACAAAATCACACAGTGTATTATAGAGTAATATTTACTGATGACAAAGTTTCGAGCACAATTTATTGTTACTCACATTCATGTCAAGACATAGACAATTTTTTACCTCATTTATACACATGAGTGAAAATGATGATTGGGCATTTGAATACAATCAATATAAGATACGACATCAATAAAATACAAGTAGATGGAAAATAAAATGTTTTTAGAGTAAAAATAATGAGTAACTTTTTAGAATGTTAGAATATGAATGGGATACATTTTAATATTATTTATTATTCTCCGATTTGACTGGTAATAATAATGATTATGATTTACTTTATTCCAAAAACAGTACTTGTGAAACGGAATGGAATTTTCAGCATTAATCACAATATTGCATCTAATTCCCTTAAACTATAAATAAAATTAATCACACAGACAATTTTCCACATTTATAATAGAGGTAATGTCAAAAACATGCTGCATATAAAATGGAAATAATAATAATAATGATAACAGCTAAGGTAATAATAATAATACAAGTGAAAATTGCCGTGGGCTTGTGTCACACAGTATTGTCAATGTTGTACAGAAATCCTAACATGTTTAAAAATATTGAATATAATGTTCTCTTTACATGATATGGTGAGGGGAAAAACAAAGATTACGGTGGTCATAGAGATAAGTTGGTCCTTGCAATCATGAGAGTAAAACAAAGAAGTAACAGGACCATAAATATAACAGAAATAATAAAAGTAAAACTTGAAAGTATATAAGGATGGATGGATGGATGGAGGAAATTGTTTATTTACTAGATGAAAACAGGTTAGTTAATTCTTGCCTGACACTCTTTTCATCACATATCTGTGGTATTTATGTTGAGTCATTTCTGTTGCATGTATTTGATGTAGACTCGATGAACCAGGCAGGATTCAGTAATCAACCTCTCCCTTCACCTATGTATATTACTTCTTAGAATTTTAACCCTCTCCCACCCACCCTATTGTGGGGTTGTGTGTTAATGCGTGCATGCAGTGAGATTGCTGAATTTTTTCTAAATTACTTATCTTCGCTAGTGGGTTCAATCATTCTTATGTTTTGATAATCTCACTACCTCCGATCTACTAGTTTGACCTATGAAGTTGACTTAAATCATAATCATTGCAAAGTGTTTTGTAAATTATATTATTTCGTTTAATTGGGTCCACCAATTTTACTCATGTATATAAATGAAGTAAAACGTTCTGGGGGTGGCTTGATATGATTATGAGTGGCAGTAATTTGTGCTCGAAACTTGGTCACCAGTTAATATTACTGTGTATAACACTGTGATTTATCAAAATAAAATGTTATCTATCATGGAGTTATACTCTACCACAGTGCCCAAGTTTTACACTTATATCTGCTTTTATATATGCACACTACTGATAAGTGTTTTCAGTAGCACACGCCATAGTATCACAAGGATTTATGAACACTTAACCTGTTTTCTATATGATGACCTAAAAGCTCATAATCTAATTATTTGATTCAAGTTCTCAACTCTCTGTAGGCATAAAATCTTTTAAATCTTTAAATCAAGCACCTCTATTTCAATATTCAATGTTGGCTGTTATTAATCAATAGATTGGTATTGTTACATTGTATTATGAAGTCAATTATCATTGTCTGTTATATCACCCATCCTAATAGGTTATATCTACCTTAATAAAGAGAAGACCAGTAGTTCGGCGAAGAGTCTTTTTTCGGCGGTGAATTCATTTTCTTAGCTGGACAATCACGAATATACATATGAGTTATTTTGTATGGGTGTGTGTACATTAAGTTTATCCAACGAAAATACAATTGGTTATGGTTATTTTAACTAACCAGGGGAGAATTAGTGAGTTTTCAGTGGAGTTATGTAATCCAAAAAGTATTCAAAGGAACTGGATGTTAATATAAGAGGGTAGTAACACAAGTGATGAGTCATCACAAACACTTTTTAAAGAAGAGTTACGTAATAACATGAATATTTTGATGACAGAGTTGTGCTGAGGGTAAACGCCAGAACAAAATATAATATGGAATTTATTAAGAGTTTTAAGGGAATACAAGAGTTTTAGGTAGTTAGAAAAAAGAGCAAAAGAGCGCAAGTTAAGCCAGATCAATAGATTTGTCGCCATGATAGTATACTTACACTGGGTACCTGCATAGTATTTTTCATCATTTCTTACACATAAGCTGCACATAAGCGGTGTATCGAAGACGAATAATATTGATGAATAGCTTTTTTTTTCAGGACTTCAACCATATTTAATATTATTCTCATATATTTCTACTTGTTCTAGTGTAATCGCCGTAAAGAAGCAATCGATATCTGCCTACGACTTAATCATTGGCGAGTTGCTTATGAATTAGCTAAACGTTTAGATACACAAGACAATGAAAACCAGCAGCAGCAGCAACAACAACAACCACAGCACCTATACTTAAAACAACAACAAAAAAAGATCGATAATTCTTTAAGTCAAACAATCAACCATTTTATTGAACAAGGTAGAATTATCCAAGCTGTGGAATTATACAAACGTGCTGGACGATTTTTAGAAGCTGCTGAATTACTGTATAAGGTAAATTATGTTAGTTATGTTGTTATTACTATTTTTATGATTATTATGTTATGACGAAGTGATACTGTGTGGCGGGTCTCTCTAACTTGACTAAAATGCGCCTTCAGAACACGCCACTATAACTAACTGAAAATATCTTCCACACTGAGATAGACAGAAAAGGCAGACAGGGAAAAACAACAACTGGAACGAACACCTTTATCAGACAAGGCCCTCAGAAAGTTGAGCCACAAATAAACCAATCAAGACTGTCCAATAAGGTGACAACGTCAGTATATACATAAATCATGACTTTACGGCTAACAAAGAAAGCTTGTCCATTCCTACCAACTACTACTTTTCTTCCTTTAAAATACTTGTCTGAAGCTTCTTGCCACTGTCAATAAGTGTTTAAAAAAATTTAATTTATCAATAAATATGCGTAGAGTGAGAAAAACAGTTGGAGAAAAGAAAAGCCAACTGCTTTCTAGCACATTTCGACCTTTTCATACTAGCTACTTTTAGCTAAATGGATTTAAGTATAAGTTAGACCACGAACTCATATCAGTTAAAGAACCACTGAAAACCAGGAAGTTCTAGACAGCTATTTCGTCCTAATTTGGGACTCTTCATCACCATGCACTCATGACCACCACCTCTAGGAATAAAAACTAAGACCTTCATGTTACAAGATTTCATTATCAGCTGACATTGGTTAGGCAACCGTTGGACAGCTGTTTCGCGAGACTAGTCCGGGACTGTTCACTAGTACACACCCACCTCCAGGGTTCGAACCCACGACCTTCCGATTACTAGGAGAGGTCGTGAAGCATTAAGTCTCTGGGACCCGGTCCAATAGCCATCGTATGAATTCCAACTTCTGTCAATTCCCGATATAGCGCGACCACTAGCCAGGGTCATTAGTGGCGAGTGTTTGCCCTAACGCTTCTAGGTTAAATGGCAACCTCGTAGACCACTCAGCCACTGGGATGGAATCCAGTGGCTAGCCCATGAATTTTAACTTCCATCAATTTCCGAAACTGAAAGCCAAAATCATTGGCGCCTATTATCATTAGCGTTCACGAGGTAATAGAAGATGAAAGTGAACACATATGGGACACTGTGAATGTCTTCAAGCCATATCATTTGTTTTTTTCTTGGATTTTGCTGAAGCAGTTTACATTTGATTGTAAAATGCAGATTTGGTGCTCAGTACTGATAACATTGTTAGGTCCAAACATTCTTAAATAGGTTTCTTTTCCAAACCAATCTTTTTCTAGCAAGTAAGTCATTTGTGAGGTGATAGTGGCTCTGTATGAGTAACGTGTTGTGCAGCTTTCATGATCTGTATATACTCACACATTCCTCGGATCCTCATTCTCTTCCAATGTGGTAACGTACTATATCTGTCTACTTGTTTTGTGTGCGCTTTCTCTATGTATTGCAGTTTGAACTGATTCGATTTATTCAATGTTCTAGCTTAACCTATCATTCTGCCAAGCTCAAATTCTCTTTGAAAAGATTTCCGCCCTTCCAAATGACACCTAATCAAATAAAAATAGTTGTACAGTCGTATTTGTATTTACTAACGCGTGTAATCAGACTATCTGTAAATAACAAGAGGGTGTCGCATGACTGACACAGCTACTCAGAGGTGGTTTCTAAAGACAGAAAAAAGATTATGTAATAATCAACGGCACGATCAAAGTAAAGTTTTGAAATCCGGTAGGGTGTACAATGGCTGCTGCATAATAAGCATGTTTTTTTGAGTGCCCAGTTGATAAATACGCAGAGAATGAGCGAAAATTTAGTAAAAATGTGGAAAAGAAACATATAAGAGTGACCGTGATTAATTACTTGGTAAAAATGGAAGCAAACAAGTAGAAAAGAGTTTAAGACCACAGCAGAGTGAGAGACTGAATAAATGTCCACTGTAGACATAGTTAGCGGTTGCACTGATGAGTCTCCAGCATCCTCAGGAGTCGAAACATAACGCCCCTTGTAAAAAAAACGACCTTACCTTTGTAGATATTTGTAAGAAAAGACTCTGGTGAATCAGTTTGGCCTAAATTCACTTGATGATCGTGAACAGAACCAGGAATAGACTTGAATTATTTTCGTTGATAATTACAACTGATAGTGTACTGAGTTGCACAACTTACAAGAGAATTTACAAATTCCCACAAAGTGGTACTTTTCCCTTTACGCATTCGCTAAACATTTTCTGACTATATAGATGGATGAGTAGATCCGATGAAAATAAAAGACTTTTTATGCTTTTCTATACATTAGTTCATTCGTTATATAATTCCTCCTACTTGTTTGTTATATTGCATTAATATTTAGGAAGCACAAAAAGCCAAATTATCTCCTAATGTACCACCGTTGCATATGAAGAAATTATACGTACTTTTTGGTTTATTAATGGAACAATATTATGAACAAAGTAAACAACAAGTTTCCGTTAAACCAAGAAATCCTACATGTGGTGAAGTAAGTCAATTAACCCTTTAGATTTTATGACTACAGGTAAAAAATACGCCAGTTGTTTACAGGAGAATTACCAATGTTATGTATGAGGTCCATAGTGTTGCCTGCCATTGACCGAATTCTATTAGTAAAGCTTTTGTAATTTGGTCGGCAAGCTGGATGACTCACGGTTGCGATGCACTTTGAAATGATGTTAGACTATCCGTAAACGCCAATACTAAGAGCTTGGTACATGACATTGATTACTCCCATGTGAAAAATCGATACATTTCTTAAAGTTCTAACCATGAGCAGCTCAATGGTAGTACATACGGTTATAGCACTGGATGACGTCGGCTCAAACCTCCTACGGTGAATCCAGTTCCTTTGAGGTCGTTTGTAACTACTAATGAAAGCGTAAAATCTAGGTCCAGGGATTGCTGCCAAATGCCTCCAATCACCTAACCTCAACTGCGGAAAACTTGGAATTGAAGTGACTCAATGACACAAGTATTATTCTAAGTCATTTGTTTAAAAATTAGGCATTATAAAATGAGATATTTTCATGATTTCATTTGAAAACTAAAAGTATTGAAACCACAGCATATAATGTAAAATGACACTGCTGATTAGTACTGCTCGACGTCAGTTTCCTTCGACTGCTCACATTGATCAGCAGTACACACTGTAGGGGGTTATGGCGTCTAACAATATGGAATATAACAACAGGCTACAAGACTGAAGGATACTTTAGAGAAATAACCATTTGCCATGAACTAATAAACTTGTAACAATAAGATACTGATAATCACTTCTAACATCGTCGTGGCGAAATTACGGCAGGTGTTCTCACTCCATTACTGTGAAAAGTTTGGAAAAAAAGGAAAGCTGCCTACTGATTTGAAGAAGGGTTATCTCGTCAAAATGACAAAGATGGGCGACTTAGACCTGTGCAAGAACTGGCGTGGAATAATGCTCTTCTCCGCGCCAAGCAAAATACTAAGTCGCATCATCATGGAGAGAATAAAAGATGCACGCAACAGAAAACTCAGAGAGGCATTCGAAGCACATACAGGTGTAAGACAAGCCAGCTGCCTATTATCACCTATGATATACTTAATTGTGGTGGACTGAATTATGCGTCAGACTGTTGGGGGGGCGGGGAACCAGGAATACGATGAGTGACTGATAAGAAGACCCTAGAAGATGTGGATTTCACGTGTGGATGATTTATGTTTGATGTCACACAAAATCGAAGACTTGCAGGCAGGCGAAAATCAACAAACTGGTTGAAGAGGCAGCGAAAACAGGACTGCAGGTGAACACAGAGAAGACAGAGGTGATGAAGATAACCGATCAACAGCAACAACAACCAGCACCAATCACCACCAAAGGGGAAATATTTGACAGAGGTTGTCTCCTTCACTTATCCGAGAAGCATCGTCTCGACTACAATGGGAACGGACGAAGATGTCGAAGTCAGCTGGAATCGGAAAGGCAAGATACGCCTTTATCAACCTGAAACCAGTTTGGAAATCTTCCGCACTAGGCATAAGGAACAAGATTCGGTTCACCCATGAATTTCCATTCCTCAACTTTCTTTTTCAGTTAATAAAACATCTCCAACATCATCTCATCATTTCTTATCACCAGTCAGTGTTAAAACACTTCACTCTGAACGGCTGTTGCATCCTTGTTTGGGAATCATCAGTAGTGTAGACTTATGAGCTAACCAAGAATCGAACCCATCATCTACTTACTCGTTTCGGGAGCAAACTAGCTGACTATTCAGTTACTTGAATTGGGATTCAGTGACCTGTGAACTTCAGTTTCTGCATATTCATCACATAGCTTTATCTTCAACCACTACCTTCGGCTAACATCCATTTTACCTTGAAATGTTGGATCTAACTGGCTATGACATCTCAGTACCGCTTCATGACATTCATCCATCAAGTATCAATGAGTTGGGGAACAATATTTGAATTTTAGATTCTAGTAGAGACTCAGACCAATATCTCAATGTATATCTCATCATGAGTAAACACCAGTTAAAAGTCATCGAAAACTAGGAAGCACTAAGTAGATGTTTAGTCCTGTCTTTGATCATAATAAGGTGAGCAACATTGAGGTTAGGCGTAGAGTTCTAGGTAAACAGGGGAAATCAATCGACGAAGTCGTGAAGCTACAAAGACTGAGATGGTTAGAACATGCGTTACGTATGCCAAGCCATCACCTCCCTCGACGAGCAATGTTAGCGGATATAGGGTCAGGCTGGAAAAAAGCTAGCGGCGGTCAAACAAAAACTTGGCACCAGTCAATGAAATCCACAACAGTTGGTCTAAGCCACGTAGAAAGGTGTAGACTTCCAGGCTGGGGTCCTCGGGACGGTAAAAATCTATGGTTGGAAACAATTGGTAACATGGCTCAAAATCGTTCTCAATGGCGCAGATGCATCCACTCCCTGTGACTTATGATCTTCAATGAAACTGTTTTGTATTTCTTTATTACGCCTTTGTCTCACACCTCTGCTCACTGTTTCTATTATGCTTTTCTTGTACTTTCTTCTCTTGCTTCGCGTGCTACACGGAGTGTCGCGACTTGAACTTCCGCACATTTGTGCAAAGTTATATGTCGAAAACAGACAGACAGACAGATGTTTAGTCCTAGTTTTGGGCCGCTAGATTCCAAACCATCAGCTGAATGGTACCCAACTATATATATATATATATATATATATATATGGTTTTTTAAGAAATGTTATTAGGTGGGTGAAGTAGATCAAAAGTGTGACCACATGAATTAATAGTAGTATGAAATGCAATTAAAACTAAAATTTCATACATTTATTCCCCTTAATGAATTTGAACAAAGCAAAAACTACAGTTTTAGCAGAATAAAATGGTACCATCTTTTATTTCGTTGCCTTCTCGTCAGCTCAGCTGCTTACAGGCCAAAGGCATTACTAAATATATCTACAACAACAATTTTAACATACTTGCACACAGTTCAGTTTAAACAAAAATCAATCGATCAATATACTCATACACTAAAAATATATACATATATAAATATGCAATATTAACCACTATTCCGAACAATAATAATCAAACACAATGGAAACTTTTAGCATTTCACATTCGGAGGAAAGAGAGGTGAAATTATCCAGTTACCAGGGCAAAGAAAGACTGATAACTGCTTCTTTCTGGACGCATAAATCAGGTTTCAGGCGCTTGATGGAAATGGCTTCAGCAAACTTAAGGAGAATTGAGCTATTTTGCTTATTGATAATTTTGAACGACTTTTCGATGTCCACCTCATGACCCGTGTCGAGGAGATGCCTGGTGATGGCACTGTTTAAAGCATTTGTTCCCTTTAGACGTAAGCTTTTTGGTACACGTTGAGAAAATCATAGATATGCCCTTCTTTCTGTCCTTCCAATGTAACTGCTCCCGCAGATACATGTAAATTTGTAGATATATTTAATAATGTCTTTGCCATGTAAGCAGCTGACGAGAAGGCAACGAAATAAAAGATGGTACCATTTTATTCTGCTAAAACTGTAGTTCTTGCTTTGTTCAAAAATAAAACTAAAATGTTTGTGATTGTAATCATAGTTAAATGTCAAGTAGCAAAACAATTAATGTCATGTGCAGAATAATACATAAGGTGTGTAGATGTTGGAAAGGGGTGTATAATTATTGGATTAGTAGGCGAATATGTCACATAACATGGTGTGAAATTTAATAAGATAGAATTCAATATTGTAAAAATAAAAAAAATTAATAATTTTGGATTTAGAATGACAAGTGGGACAAGCGGAAACAATTTAGAGTGAGAATAGTAATAATAATAATAATCGTAGTAATGAAGGAAAGGTAAATACAATAACTAAATAAACAAAATACATAAATAAATGTCTATCCCTCTACGGCCTAGGCAGAAGTAGGGATTGTACATACTTCTTTTATAAACAAAGGTCTGGCTTAAATTCATGAATGGACAGGGCCTCCACTGTCCTTAGAAGTCTATAACGAATAAAACTTGGCGAATTAGCATGGATTCGGTAGATGATCTTTAAATCATAATCGGAGTGACAGCAATTGATCAGGTGTTCTAGAACAGAGCTTCGCACCCTCTTCCTTTCTCTCTATTAAATAAAATCATGCTGGAATATGTTCTTGTATCCTTGGGGAAAACATTCTCTGGCTAAGGCCAATATACCTTGCTCCACAAGAGCAGGTGAACTGATAGATGCACATAGAGGTGGCCAGACGTGTGTGAGTTTATCTTTTACAGAGATGGAGGATAATTTGTGGCTGGTGAACATTATTTGTGATTTTGCTGCAAAAAAAAACGTCTTACCGACTGCTTTAGATAGACGGTTTTTGAGCATATCTGAAGCTTGATCACTTTTGAATTCCAAGTGCATGAATAAGGTTTTCTTTGGAACTGAGTCGGTAGATTATCATTATGATTCTTTTGGGTTCAGAGGAAAAAATAGAACTAATTAATTTACCAGGCTTAGAAATTCCTATCACATAATCTGATACTATCTTTTGATATATATATATATGTATATATATTTCCCCTTATTTACAATAGGGTGTATTAATGGCAAGCTCTGCACTCGCTGGACTACTCTTAGCTGAACAAGAACACACTTCATTGAACTATGAAGATGTGAACAGCTTGGATACACAAGGTAAAAAACAGAATGGAAGTATCTTCAACAAAGAATCAGACATCCTAGAGAACAGCAAAATAACTGAAGGCAATAGAAACAAATTATCTGCTGAAAAAGGCGATACTTCAGGGAAGACTAATCTCCAATTGATGACTAAATCAACTGAAATCAGCCGACTTATTGATCAACCATGGAGAGGCGCTGAAGCATATCATTATGCTATGCTGGCTGAAAAGCAACTTTACACTGGATCAATTAATCGAGCGCTTAGAACTGCACAATTATTAAAAGATTATGAAGATATACTAGATCCGTGTAAAATTTATAGTTTGATTGGTAAGTTTATCTTTGTTAATCGTTTATTATTATTATTCCTTTGGGTTCCGAGAAGAAAGTAAGACTTCAGCTCTATCTATTCATTTCACTTTGTCTCCTACAGTCTTTCTTTTTCTGGCTTTATGATTGCGCGTAAGATTTCATTTTTAGCTCACACGATCTCCTTAATATCATCCTTGAACCCTAGCCCAAGTTGTCGTTGCACGCTTGAGTTGTACTCGTAGGCTAGGCGTGAGGTGTCACTCAACGATCTCGTTAGCGTTTGTTTCTGTCTGTCTGTTTTCAACATAGAACTTTACATCGATGTGCAGCAGTTCCAGTCGCCACACTCCATCCTTGTAGCACACAAAAGCAAGAGAAGAAATGCATAATACAGACAGTAAATAGAGGTGTGAGACAAAGGAATAGTAATAACGAAGAACGATATAGTTTCATTGGAAATCATAAGTCACAAGGAGTGAATGCATCTGCGCCAGTCATGGAGAACGATTTTGAGCCATATCACCAATTGCCTCCAGTCTTCATTGGTGTTTACCGTCCCGAGGACCCCAACCAGTCAGGCCTAACCTCAGCATTGCTTACCCTATTATACCACTTCACATGGGAGATAGAACTCAGGCACCTATGATCGAAGACAGCTAGCCAGGCGTTTCATGTCTTCCATTCCCAAGGGCTATGTCTCGCTCACTGCTGAGCAGTACGCACGCCCTTTAGTCGATAGCTGGATATCACGTCTACTAAGCCAGAGATGGCACAAACTGGCATATGCGAAGCAAGCTTTTTGTATCCATGCAGAGATTTCGTCAGAGGTCGACCCTTTGGGGCTGATGCAACTCCCCAATTAAGTGAAGTGGTCAATGCGCTCTACCGCTTCACTCATGTCGATCTCTAAGCTAGGAGCCAAAATAGTTCAGTCCCGTAGCATCACCTTAACTTTGGCGGGAGCGAATAGCATTAGTACATTGCAGCTCAAGGTTTTCAGAAGACTCTGCATTTTGTCAGCGTCTTCACCTAGGAGGCGAGTCTATATCATCTGAATATTCCAAGTCAACAAGATTATTCCCTGGTAACAGCGTGCGCCAAACCGATCTCCACTTTGTTCTGTACATTCTTTGACAAATGGGTTCTTGATTGGTTCGTCACTAGAATTCCTAGTTGTTTATCTTGTCTATTGGGCTGGTTATCTAATCTTTACAATTAAGCGAAGGGAGCTGTTGATGAAAGTCTCCAAACAGGTCTCTGAACCGTAGAGAAGCACTTACTTGGTATTGGTGTTGAAAATCCAAATACTGTTTTTTATGCTGTATGCAGCAGATTTCCACACTGGTTTCAGAGTGATGAATGCCTGTCTTGCTTTTCGAATTCTGCCTTTGACATCCTCATATATGCCACCTGTGGTTGAAAGGATATGCATCTTATGCATTTCTGCTGATATTTCGTTATTCACCAACACATTGAGATTTAGGCAACCTAGACTAGACACGTCACACTAGTTACTAGTATCCAATTAAACTACCCACTACAGTCCTACAGGAGGTCAATCGCGAGCCCGAATAGCTCAGTGGTAACGTCTCTGACTACAGCACTGCAATGGGTGACGCGGGTTCGAATCTCAGAAGGGACATGAATCCCTTCAAGGTTGCACATACGTCTTGCTGACGAGTGCCAGCTATCATGAAACCTAGGTTAAGCAAGGTCTCTTGTGGCCGATTGCCTCCAACTACCTAATATATCATCAAATCAATGTGCGCCATGATGGCAAGCCAGCTACCTAGAATGGTGGCCACATTACAAATCTGACTGATGGAATTCAGTCTACACCAAAGAAAGGACTAGACACGTCACACTAGTTACTAGGGTCCAATCAAAATTTAGGCAACCTTCTTGTGTACTCAGAGTTCCCCGAATAGTATTTATTCTAGTTATAGTGGGTAATAATAACGCCAACAGATACACGTCTGTAGCATTGTCAGCTATGACATTTTTATATCTGGAGACTGCTACTGCTTTTCAATTTATCCTTTTGTGATTTCAAGTAATTTAGGTAATCATTTTGAAAAGATAACTCCTTTTTTTTCAACGTTTGAAAAGTCTTTGAAGAAATACATTTTCAAGTTTGAACACAAGCTGATTTCACATGGAGAACCATTTGAAAACCAGGGCGTACTGGACAACTATTTCGTCCGCGTTTGGGATTCTTCAGTGAAACATACTTTGATAGAGTTTTGGTAGAAAGTTGTGACCATTGTGATATACCGAGTCTGGCATGAAGACAGATACTTGTCAGTATCGTTAGCTGTTTATGGATCTGCATGTACTGAATTCGCAGATCATTTGGATTCCGTCCTAATAGATAAACGATAAACAGGCTCACCTTGTAAACTGATGGATGATCTTGAGTTCAGTCACTGGCGTGCATTGAGGAAGAGTCCCAAACTAGAACTACCTGCTTCTGTGATTTATATCAGTTTTTGAACAAACTTGAAGTTTTGTCGTCTGTGTTTGACTCCTTAAACCTACAGTCTCAGTAAAACTGCATTAGTAGACTGATGCTTACTTAATATATGTGTGGTAAGTGAAGACAAAATTCTAACTTAAGTCACTGGTGAATTTGAAAGAGTAGTCTTCGGACTATTGGACACCAGTCCAACTGCTAACAAAGTCTTAATTTAGTTCTAATCACAAACTGTATCTCAAACCTCTTATTTGGTTGAGTAACACGCCAATTTTTTTCCGATACTATAGCTACGTAACTGAAGATTAATAAGTTTTTACATTGTCTAATTCGATTTCATGTTCATAACTTCACAGTCAAGTTTACAATATATGACAGCAGACAACGCCAATCATCGCTGAGGTGAACTGTGTGTATACACTTTCTTTATCGACGAAATTATCTTCAGAGACTGTGCATTCGTATTTATCACTAACCATAAATGTATAGTAGTCCACTACTGAGTAATGGGGATGCGGGTGGATGGGCGACATTACTGATATAATTACTCAGAAGTGGCTTCAAAAAGTAAAAATAAAAAGTTGTAAATTACATAACATTCAAAGGCAAAAATGAAAGACAGCTTTAGCAATTTGATAAGGTTAAAATTCCTATTGAGGGAGAGTAAAGTTGGTTGAGTGTCCATTTAACAAGTGTGAAGAAGGTGAGAAAATGTACAAAAGGAACATGTGAGAGTGATAACAGTAAATTAACTACTAAATTAAAAGCAGAGTAATTTAAAAACATAAAAAATTTACAGTGAACGACTAGTAAAGAGGTTAAGACCATGCATGGTAGAATAAGAGACTGGTCAAACTTTTTCTGTATACAGAGTTTGAGGTTGCATTGACAAATTGCCAACGCCTTCATCATACACAAAATCCGAAACCTAACGCCCTTTGACCTATTTGGCCTCACCTTGTAGATGATCTTGAAGGACGACTCTGTTGAAGCTACGTGGCTTGAGTTCACTAAGTGACCGACATTCGACCTAGTAATTGTCTTGCATTGTCCTTTTGCTAACTACGCCGGATAATGTTCAGAGATGCATTTGGAAAGTGTGCGCTTTGTGCAGCCAGTATAACTAGCTCCATACGACCAGGTGAATTTATAAACACACACATTGAAGTGACCTAAAGCCGCAGCTTATCCTTCACAAATCTATAGATCATTTGTCGGCTGTAGAAATTGATCCGTAGCTAAGACGAGAAAAAAAGGCTTTTGTCTGTGATCTGGACAAACAGTTCTTCAGAATCTAAGCCTTAGTATCACCTTTAAATTCAACGCTCATAAATAGCAGTTTCTTCGTCACCGTCTGGGTTCTTTTGGGCTTTTGTTTTAACTTCATATTTTTCTCGATAAATCTTGGAGGATATCCATTCTCGATGAGGACTTGTCTGAGTTGTTCCACTTCCACGTCGATTGTATCCCTGGAAGATATCCTTCTAATTCTTGTAGATAAGGAGTGGATCTGATTTCTCTTTCTTCTCACAGAGATCCAACTATGATATGGTATATGTATGTGTAATTGTTTGTTAGATGTTAACTAACTGTGTAATTGTTTTTATTCTCTATTTTCTCCATTTGTTCTTGTTCTTCTTCTGCCCTAGCTCTGTGTTCCATCTATGCAAAATGCTTTGCCACATGTTCTAAAGCATTTATAAAATTAGAAAATTTAACAGATATCTCACAAATAGAACAGAATACGATAAAAGAATTAGCTGTGGATATATTTTCAAAGTGAGTTATTTTGAATAGATGATTGTGTTAGTAATTACTTATAAGTAGCACAAATTGCTCTTGCTGTTTATTTTAAATATTAAAACATGAAAATGGTGTAAATATTTACATTTTTTTATTCCACATTCCTCTATCGGTACCGCTAGTATTAGGAGGCTTGCTTGAATCATTGGGTTACTGAAACTGCTTTCCAACCAAAAATGCTTAATTTCATCTGGATTTATCATTGTTTTTAATCGTCCAGTTATGTGGAATGACCCATACATGAACTCGCATGTTGTGAATTAACAGGCTTTCACGTAAATGCTGTGCAATTAATTCTTCAACGATATGAAGATATATTTAATTGAATTTTACATTTTCCCGTCGATTGATTGGATCGAAGTGCTTGGTCTCAGGTTGACGTGTCGGCTTTTTGTGCAGATGCTTCGACGATGTCTGGGCATGTAATTACAAGTTAATTGATGGATGGTGACTAGCGGTGGAATCCAGGATGAGCACTGGGTTCGAGCCTCGGTGGAAACATAATCACTCAGAGCGGAGTGAAGGTACATCCAGTGACGAGTCCCAAATAGGACGAATTGCGCACCCTGAGTTCCACTGCTAGTCACCACCATCCAGTCAGCTTCTAAATGATGGTATACTTCAGATTATTACTTTAAATGTGAATACTTTATGAAGGGAAAGGTATTTTTTTTTAAATAAATACGTTGAAAATATTTGTACCATATGTTCTTGTATTGTCTGTCGTTATTATTATTATTATTAATATTATGATTGTTTATACATGTTAAAGTTTCTAACCTTATGATCAACCATCTCTCTTTTCCGAGCTTGCTAATGGTTAGGTAAGCTTTAAATAGTGCATCAATGGAGAATCGAACCGCGAGCGACATGCATGGTTAAATGGAATCCTACCGGTAAACCGCTGATACATGGCATGAATATGGGAAGAAAATTTTCTTTTCGACACATTTAGTTTCCTTTATAAGTTTCAATAAGGAAAGAAAGACCAGATTAGCAGTATAAATTGATATCATTATTCTCTTTCACACTGGTTCTCATCATCTGTTGTGGACTATCTGAAATTAAAATGGTTATGCAAATAGGCGATAATAACATATTTCAATTTTTTGAATGGTAATAGAGAAAACATTATAAAATCAAAGTATCGGAAATATAAGCATTACACATTTTGGTCTACGTTACCATCACTTTATATACTACTAATAATAATGACTTTATTCTGAACAATGTTTGTCTATTTGATCAGACACTAGTCAGTAACTAATGTAACGTGTGTCTAGGCCTTTGTTTGGTGCAGAGTGAATTCTTTTGTCGGTGCATAATGCTATATGGCCAGCCTTCTAGATGGCTCTCCATCACAGTGCACTTTAAATTGTTGATATTAAATGATTGAAGGCAACCGGCCACAAGAAGCCTTACTTGACCTATGTTTCGGGCTAGTTGGCACTCACCAGTCAGCAAGGCATATCTGTAACCTTGAAGGAACTCATTTCCCTTCTGAGATTCGAACCCATGTCATCCAGACGTTACTACCAAGCAGCTATTTGGGATCGCGATTGACCTCCTGTATGACTGCCGATTGCTTCCAACCATTAATAATATTAACAGTGTTTATTTGATGTACAGAATTTCTAGCGGAGTTTATTGTGTGATTATTTTGTCTTCGTCCATGATCTTCGAATAGAAGATCTGATTGACAAAAGATCGTGTGACACAATTCTATCTGACCCGACGTGCGAACCAATTCTTTGTCTCCTTCGAAAAAGAGACGGAGTTTAGTTGAATGCCAATCATAAAAGGAACATAACTTCCTGGATCTGCTATACAGTGTGCTTACTAATTCACGCGTATGCCTTATAGGACGGAAGCTGTTGTAGTGAAGGTAATGTCCGGTCAAGGTTTATTTTCTGTAAGTAAATTTTTCGACTGTAACATCGTTCAGAAAACTGAACTCATCGTTGTGGTCATATTCCGTGGTGAATTTAGTGTTTGGGTGCATCTCATTGAGGGGATCACATAATGCAGATGCATGATTCATTAAACACATCATCGATCTATCAGCGATAGTAAGTTTTGTCATTGGTAGTAGAACTCAATCGCGTCTGTTCAAGAAAACCCATGAAGATATAGGTCAAAATAGGTCCTAGTAGTCGCGCTATGTCGTGAATTGGGAGAAGTTGGAATTCATGAGTTGGCCATTAGATCGATTCCCAGTTCGCCAGCCTTGTAACCAGAAGGTCCTCGGTTCGACCCCTGTTGGCGGGTGCGTACTGATGAAGAGACCCAAGCACTAGGACGTAACAGCTGTCCAGTACTCTCTGGTGGTTTTCCAATGGTCCTCTATCCGATCTCAGTTCATGATGAAATCCTGTAACCAATCAATCAAATCCCTACAAACAAGTACTTGAAAATTGCAAATTTATTTCGAATTGACTTCAATAAATTATCAAACCATCGAGCTGGCTTGATGCATGGTAAGTTGATCATTAGTTATATGGGTCTTAAGGGCTCATTAGCCTTGTGGAGTTTTAGTAGACCGTACATAAACAAGGGGTGTCCTGAGTTCAATGCACATTTTGTTGTTGATCTGTTTTTTTAAAAATGTTTGTTAAAAAAACCTACTTTATTAAAGGAAGAAAACCGAATTCAGATGTATGAGATTTAGTTATATAATTTTCTGAATAGATGCATATTATATTTGCATGTTTGGGTTTTCAATCCAGTTCATTCACCTAATGCTTTATATAACAATCAACAGATGATTTCTAGAACTTTCTGAAGGACGACGTATTTTTTCGAATTATTATTATTATTATAACCTTTAATTCCTAGAGGAACATAGGGCTTCAGCTACGCATTTCCATTGCCTTCTGTCTTCTGCCAACTTTTTCACTCCGCTCCAAGTCTGCCCACATGCTTTTATCTCCTCCTCGCATGACCTCCTCTAAGTCACCCTTGGACGACCAACTCGCTGTTTCCCTTTCGGGTTCCACTCGAGAAATGGCTTGTCTAGTGATGTCACTTGATGGTTTCCTCAGAGTATGGCCAATCCATGTCCATTTCTTCCTGCCTATTTGTTTCGCAATCGGTTCCTGCTGGGTTGGTTCGCTCATTGCCAGAGATCCCTGTTGCTGATCTTTTCTGGCCGGCCATCTGATCGTGAGTATGGATCGAAGACAATTGTTGATGAAGGTCTGAAGTTTGTTTGAGGTGCTCTTTATGACGCGCCAAGTCTCTGATCCGTAAAGTAGCACTGACTTCACATTGGAGTTGAAAATTCGGATGTTATTTTTGATGGTGAGTGCTGTTGATTTCCACACAGACTTAAGAGTAATGAAAGCTTGACTTGCTTATCCGATTCTGGCTTTGATACCCTCGTCAGTTCCGCCTGTAGTTGAAATGATGCTTCCCAGGTAGGTGAAGGAGGTTGTTTCTTTCAGGTTCCTCCCATTTATGCTGATTGTTGCCTGTTGTTGTTGTTGCTGTTGATGTTGGCTAGGAATCTTCATCACCTCTGTTTTATCTATGCCCACCTGAAGGCCTATCTTCTCTGGATGCTTCTTTTGCCAACTTGTTGCTTTTCACTTGCATATCTTCCACTTTGTGGGAAGTCAGACATACATCATCGGCGAAGTCCAGATCATACCAAAGTAGGGATATATTATCCTTCAACTTTATATATATATATATATATATATATATATATATATATATATATATATACTTATTTGACGTGAACCAGGGGACAATACGTAAGCCATATAAGGGCAACAGTTAAACCATACAGAATACAGAATATATTTCAGTGGTGCTAACTACCAGAGAACAATTGATTTTAGCATGATATCGTGAAGAATAGTGCGCGTACTTAACCGCACACACCTTCAACCTAACCAGCAAAAGTCATCAGCAACGCTGAATATAGAAAAACTCTGATGGTTATTTAATTTTAGTGAATTACTTACCGTGATAAACTGAATCAGTAGTCTGAAGGCAGTTGGTTCTAGTCCTTCTGTTACTATGGTTTTCGTCGCCAGTGTGATGTGTGTGTGAACTACATCAGCTCCTAACTGGGTCACTACTCTAATTCTATCGCCATGTTTAAAAAAATTGTTTTCAGATATCCACCTACAAATGAACAACAGAATACAATGGAATTCCCTGAAATGGATTCAATGTTAGAGAGGTATGTGGATTTATTTTTTTAAGTATCTTTTTTGGGGAAGGAGGATAGTAGATGGTGACAATAATTGTTAGATTCCAAAATCTAGTCCAGAATAATATTTGCTATCTGGTCTCATTTCTCCAAGTTTGTGTCACTTTTTATACTTAAAGTTACTCATAGCCTCTACCAGGCGAGTCCTATTCACTTCCTTCACATGGTGGTGGTGGTAGTGATGGGGCTGTTTCTGACAACAGTGGAAGGACTAGTGGTGACGTCTGGCATTTATAACCAAACTGGTAAACATTCAGGTCTAACTAGCGGAGTCGTAAGACCAAAACCCTGATTCCAAACCTATGGTGTACATAGGCTGCAGAATTCAAATGGCATATTGGCCTGTTTTGGTCACTGTCCACCAGGAGGATGTAGCTGCTATGCCTCAGCACTGCCTGTTGGATTAGACGTTAAGTCGAAGGCTTGGTGGAGAGTGACCCTTTGAGACAACCACCTGCTTCGGTCTAGGCGTCTGAACAGTATTCTATCCCCTGGATTTTGTATGACTCATCTCATCTTTTGGTTGGTGCCCATAATATGCCAAGTTTATGTGTTTATGAATATACTCAAAGTTCAATTTTCTCATCTAATGCTATCTCAAGTGATCCAAAGGTTAATTTTCTATTGCTTCGGTTGACATGTTCAATATAAGAAGAAATTGAACACGTGAGATTTCTTACACGTGATATACATTTAAGTGTGAGAACTTACCTAAACTATTGGCTTCATGTTATTGTAACTTCCATTATCATTTCAATAATGAGAAAGTCTGCATGATGCTCAGAAAACTGATTATCAAATTTAAACAGTAAAGGGGTTCAGACATGGTAAATTTCACAACAACCACAGTGGTGTTAGCAGTTGGCCTTAGGTAATAGCTTTTTAATTCATGAAAAATTGTCATTCAAACATTAATAGACAGAAGACCAGTAGCAATTCAGTGAAGAGTCGTCTCTTTTCGGCGGCGAATTCATTTCCATAGCTGTACAATCGCAAATATACATATGGTTGTTTTGTATGTGTGTGTATATTAAATTTGACAAACGAAAATACAATTAGTAAGTTCAAATGAATTGGATGTTGATAAATGCGGCAACATAGAGAGTAGTGTTCTTTAGTCGTCCGCTAATCTGCAGTAGCCCAAAAGACAAGATCCCGCAACTGACCACTTCTCTGTGTATATATCAATTCACCTGTTGCTGTGGAGCCACGTACATCGGTCGTTCAACGCGTATCCTGTCAAAAAGGTTCAAAGAACACTATCCAGAGTGGCTGTATAAGGAGTGCAATAATCGAATATCTCGTCAACACTGGTCATTCCATCTCAACAGACGCCTCCTGCTTCGAAGTAATCTAAAAAGTGAAGAACAACCTGGCAAAGACAATACGTTTCCATCTTCTTTGCATTGCAGGAGCCGCAGGTATTCAGTTAGAAGGACAAGAATTATGCATACAAAAAAAATTATTCAACCACTTCTACTATCATGGTAAAAACTCCGTTGATTTGACTTAACTTTTGTTTGTATGGTTATTTTTTCAACTATTTAAAACGCTTGCGTAATTCCATATGTTATTTTGTTTCCATGTACACCCTGAGCACAGCTCTTCCATCAAACTATTCACCTTACTAAGTAACTCTTCTTTAACAAACGTTTGTGATAATTCATCACTTTTATTATTACCCTCTTATATCAAAATCCAATTCATCTGAACATACTAATTGTATTTTCGTTTAATAAACACACATATATAAAATAACCATATATATATATATATATATATATATATATATATATATATATATATATATATATATATATATATATATATATATATATATATATAGCTACGAAAATGAATTCCCCGCTGAAAAGAGACTCTTCACTGAACTACTGCTCTTCTGTCAAATGGCTTTTTAGATAAAGCAATAAGAAGACGTTATCTGTCTGAATCGTGTAATGCTGTATTTGCGCAACACATTTCCAACAACGTGATCACACACGGACTTGTCATAGGAACATATATGAAATTAATAAAGAGGTAAAAGATGAGAAAATAGATTTAGGTCAAGTTAAAATGACATATTCAAGGTCATAATAACAATGAAGATTAATAAATAACAAAGGTAATAGTACATCTACGCTGACTGGTATCAAAACAAAGTTTACCAAGGAAGATATAGTGTGATGACGAATTGTTGCTTTGTCCGCATAAAGGTGGCTTCAACTTCCTAATTGCTAGCTAGGGTTTCCGCGAACTTTTAGAATACGCCCCAAACACGTTTTATAGATAGGTTTAAAAGATCTGTTAACGTCAATTTTATGTCCTGTCTCCTGTATAATATGTTTCAAAGTAGAGGAGCTAGGTGTCCTGTTCTGACCATTAATGGGTTCTGAAGGTTCTGTTTGTTTCTGGAGCCACTTAGGAATATGCTCTGAAGTCAGTTCTTACTTGCAGGAATCGATGAGTCCTCTCTTTGTCTGTCCATACGTACATTCAAATTGGTAAATACAGTGGAATGTGACATTTTTCGCATGTTCGAAGGGCTTAGCTAGAGCCTTATTAAGGTGCCTCTTCAGTAGAATCCAACGAATATGGATTCAAGACACACTTGATGAAGTATAAAGAAAGTTGACACAAACTCTGGTTGATAACAATTATCCAGACAAGTTCATCAGGAAATATAAAGTAGTCAGAACGCCAAGACCCACTCTCCAACTTGCCCCTAAGAAAGACGTTTACATCAAGCTACCCTATATGGGCATCATAGCAGCTTGATAACTAGACAAAGATTGAACTTTGCTGTTAAAAAGACTTTTTATGTAGCTAGTATCATAATAATTGAGAATGTGAAGCCAATATATCCATCTAAGCCCTTCGAACATGCGAAAAATGATGTCACATCCCACTGTATTTACAAAGGGAGGCCTCATCGATTTCTCCAAGTAAGAACTGACTTCAGAGCATATTCCTAAGTGGCTCCAGAAACAGACAGAACCTTCAGAACCCATTAATGGTCAGAACAGGACACCTAGCTCCTCTACTTTGAAACATATTATACAGGAGACAGGACATAAAATTGACGTTAACAGATCTTTTAAACCTATCTATAAAACGTGTTTGGGGCGTATTCTAAAAGTTCGCGGAAACCCTAGCTAGCAATTAGGAAGTTGAAGCCACCTTTATGCGGACAAAGCAACAATTCGTCATCACACTATATCTTCCTTGGTAAATTTGTTCGAAATGTGTTGCGCAGATGCATTACTCGATTCAGACAAATTATGTATTCTTTTAGTTTTTGTGCCTGTACAATCGGCAATACAACTTTGCCAATCATTACATAAAAATCATTCAAACCAGCTGAATTTCGGCTACTTACTCTGTTAAATTGGGGACAAATATTCACGCACACACACACACACACAAGAAATTACTGAACATTCTTTGATTACAAATTAAGTTAAAGCAGGATTTCAGCTGCAGCTGAATAATTAACAAATATCTAGAAATTCTGAACTTGCACACCTAATGCTAGTGACATCGTGTCAGTAAATTCAAGTGAAGTCATAAAAACGCACACCAATAGAGTTCACTTAATATCAATAGTCACAGGCGTCTCACTTGAGCGTTGTTTGAACTATTGAAATATATTCACTGAGACTCGACTAAGTATACCACTCAGCAGTATGGCGTAAGGCAAACTATAGACGAAGAAACAGCTCTAGAACCAATGAAATATTATGATATGTATCCACATATATATATTTAGGTGTGTGCGTATGTTGGTTTCTGTTCTGTTTGCTCTCTTAGTCTGTGACCATTTCACTTGTATGAACTTGTCTCCTTTAACAATGTATATTTCTCCTTATATTATATATAATATGAGTGTATGTTGACAGCCCGTTGCTTGGTGACATATATCCATATTATGTGTGGTTGTTGACATGTCTGTTATATCTCGCTATGTATATATGGATCGATACTTCATTATAATTAGCCATTCATGTTAAGACTGTCTAATGATTTGTCTGGAACATTCATATATATTTCGCATCCACAATTTGTGGGAACTACTTTACTTTACTTACTTACCACTTTTGGTGTGAGACCATTTATTTTCGTCTCCTTGTGTTTGGACAATAGAAGTATCATCGCAAACCTAGTGGTCTTCTGATTTCCGCCTTCTCGCGTCAGGACTATTAGTTTCTCGACCAGACCATAACAATAAATTAGCGACGAGTACATAACACATTAGTATCTTGAGTATCGGATATTCAACACTAGATTTTTCTTAAGTCTGAATTATACAACCGTAATACAGAAAAGTTACCATAAATAATATTTACTAAAAACAATACAACTAAGACAGTATTGATTATTTGAAACCAACATTCCAGAAGGCATTGAGATTCATCCTGTCCCAGAGATAAATCCCAGCAACTGGGTGTTTCAAAAATTTCCATTGACTTTATTTGATTGTTATACAATTTGTTGAGTCTGAATAGGTATAAAGATACTTAAACAGAATAAGCAAAGCGACTCAAATAACTTTTTCTTCACTGAACCACAGAAATATCAGGAGAAAAAGCTGACCTTTGGAGGTGAGAACAACTTTAGTAAAGAAGAATATAGCATAAAGTTAAGTCTGTTTCATTGGTTAAATGCACTAATTTGATTGATTGTGTAAGATCGGTGATTTAGTATAAGTACCCAATAAGGTTACCCAATCAAATTATAACAAAATATTCTTCCTCACTGCCTAATAGCTTGATTTGTCTATTCTTAACTTGAACTACTTCCTGTCATCCATTAACTTCATCTAAGACAACTGATTTACACTGTTCAAGTGAGTACCTTATGTAATGAAACAAAAAGCTGTTTTTGAGATGGATAACTTGATGACATATCAAAGCAATCATAATAATAATAATATGTATAAACTTGGATACTGTAGTAGTAGGTTACTCCAGATTAATTTGCTTACTGGATATAGCTCAGTGGTAACGTCTCTGACTGCAGCACTGGGTGAGATGGGGTTCGAATCTCAGAGGGGAAGGATATGAGTTCTTTCAAGGTGGTAGGTATGTCTTGCTGACTAGTGAGTACCAACTGGCATGAAACCTATGACAAGCAAGGCTTCCTGTAGCTAACTGCCTCCAACCTCCTAATATATCACTGAGTGTTAGTTTGCAGGGATATGATTGGTTACAGGTTCGACCACGAGTTGATAGCAGTTACAGAATTATTGGAACACCTGGGAGCACTGAAAAACTGCCCCGTCCCAGTGCTTCAGACTCTTCAGCAGTACGAACCTACTACCAGGGTTCGAATCCAGGACCTTCCAACTACACGGCAAACTCATAGACCATTCGGCCACCGGGACCCGGTTCAGTGGCCAACTCATGAATTCCAGCTCCTGCAAATTCGTTATTTATATAGTGGAACTGCCAGCCAATTTCATAGACGAGTAACTCATCTCTTATCTGAATTGGTGGACTCCAATAGTTATGACTTCCTACTACCACCAGTGGGGTGGCAGTTGCGCTATATATATATATATATATATATATATATATATATATATATATATATATATATAATGAATTGACAGAAGTTGGAATTCATGAGCTGGCCAGTGAGCCGGATTCCGGTGGCTGAATGGTCTACGAGCTTGCCTTGTAGTTGAAAGGTCCTGGGTTCAAACCCTGGTAGTAGGTTCGTGCTGCTTAAGGGCCCCAAGCACTGGGATGAAACAGCTGTCAAAAACTACTAGGTAATTTTCCAACAGTTCTGTAACTGGTGCCAACCCGTTATCCAACCTATCGGATATATCACACAGTGAAAGGTTACTATTTACTGACTGGCGTTTCGAACACAATTCCCTGTTCATAATCATATCAGTCGTGATCGCACAACATTTTTGTCCTTCCTTCCCATTTACTATAACGGTAGTAAAAAATTTCATAAGTCTCGGGCACGTGTTCAATCATTCCTGCTGCATGTATTCTCAGCTTCAGTTATCA